TCTGTTCCTCTGCAGGCATTAAGATACTTTCTTCAAAACAGGTCTTCCCCCCAGGCCTGGCCGCATGTCTTAATGGAAACCGTGGGGGTTGGAGATTAGCTTGACCTCCGAAATCTGGGCCGGCTTCTTCAGGTCAATCAGATTGGCTTCCCTTGGGTTCCTCTTACTTCAAAGGGAGCTGATGGCCGCGGAGCGGGGACCTGGCGCCCCGCTGGTTTGTCCTCCTGTCGTTTCAGTGTTTGTCCAGCGTTGATCTGGGGGAGGTCCCAGGACAGGGGCAGAGAGCGGGGCGGGGGGGGGGGCCCACTCTGGCCCCGCGGATGCCCCAGGGGGACTGGGCCACCCTCTCCCAGGCCCCCCGGGCCCAAGGCCTTCTGAAGAAGAAATTTCACCAACTAATAGTCATCTTCCTGAAGTGAGTTCTGGCTAATAATGCAGTATTCTTCCTCACCCCTTAATTTTTTTTTTTTAATTTGTGGAGAAACACATAGAACGTAAAATTTACTGTCTCAGGTCTCCAGTGTACACTGCAGCACACTTAACGTCAGTAAGCACAGCGATGCTGGGGGCCTTCGCTGGTCTCCGGCTGCAGACGGTCTCTCCTCTGCGGAAGAAGCTCTGCGCCCGGGACACGCTCCCCCCGCCCCCGCTTCCCACGTTCCTGTGAGCCCGTCCGCTCCGGCTCCCTCATCTAAGGGAGCTCATCACGGTGTTTGTGTGTGTGTGTGTGCGACTGGCTTATTTCACCTGGCACGATGTCCTCCAGGTCTAGCCGTATTGCAACAGGTGCCAGAATCCCCTTCCTTTGTAAGGCCGAGTCACATTCCGTCGTGTGCGTACGCCACGATTCTGTCCCCTCTCTCATCGGTGGGCACTTAGGCTGTTTCCAGCTCTCCGCTGTCGGGAGCGAAGCGTCCGTGAACGGGGGTGTGAAGACGTCTCCTTGAGAACTTGCTGTCCGTGTATCTTGGGCATACACCTGCCAGTGGAACTGCTCGATTGCACAATGGCTCTGTTTTTCACTTTTTGAGGAATCAGCACTCTGTTACTCGGTGGCTGTGCTGTCTGGGTTGCTGTCTGGCAGCCCCATCCGCAGTGCACACGGGTTCCAGTTTCTACACGTCCTCAGCAGTGCCTGTTTCCTGCTTTTGGACAGGAGCCGTCCTGCCAGGTGGGAGGTGGGGGTGTTTGCCCTTTTAACAGACTGTCAGCGCTCAGCCAGGGCGGCCTCGGGGTGTCGATGCCAGGACAGGAGCCTATCACCGGGTGGGGCCCTGGCCCTGGTATTTGTTAGGAATTATGAACATATTTTCTGCTTCTACATGGAAGCATTTTCAGATTTGCGAATACGTTATGCAGTGGAGGGGATAGGGGAAGATGTCAGAGCAGCTTCTGATGACTTACGGTGGGAAACATAATTGAGGCCCGCTCCCGGGGCACACACAGAGCAGAGATCAGAGGAGTGGAAACCCAAGCCTCGGGGGAAGTCTGCCAAAGTCACTTCGCATTTCTGAGCTTATTTCTTTCAAACCCGGGTGTCAGAGCATCAGCCCAGTCAGGATCCTGCCAGCTTCCAAACGCTCAGATTCTGCCCAATAACCTTGAATGTGCTCCTTGATGAGGGGGAGGGACGCCTCGTTCTTGAGGACAGGATGACAGAGGAACACTGAGTTTAAATTATTCAAGATGCCCTTTCAGCGGCTCAGCATTCAGGAGTGCAGCCTCTCTCCTCCTTCCAGTGGTTGGAGCTGGAATTGCACCTCCAGGCCACCTGGGCCAAGGTCCTCATTTTACAGATGAGAAGCCAGGCCGTGGCGATGGGGTCGTCCCGCCCAGCTGTGAGCTCTCTCTGTCTTGTGAATAAAAAGTGCTGGTCGCCGGGTCCTGAGGTCTCGGGAGCTGTGCTAGCAGCAGCAGTAGCACGGGTGTGGCTTCAGGACGTCACTGCTGGGGAGGGGGGGCCACACGTCATTCTGTGATGAGCACAGCTCATACATTCACATGCGAGGGGGATGGTTAAGAGAAACCGTGGGGGAGGGGTGGGGGAGGGGGCTGCCGAATCCAGAGCCCCGGATTCCGGGTCTGCTGGCCCACCTGCGATCCTGGGCGTTTTTGCTTCGTTGTACTTTCGCGCGTCCTTGAGTTTTCTCCTCTGACAGGCCTCGTGCCCACGGGGTGGTTGTGCGAATCCCACGAGCACAAGGTGATGTATACGAAAGGAATTGTGCAAGGTGCCGTTCACCCTGCTTGCCCGTCGCTGTAGTGTCAGCGGTTTGCCCCTCAGGAAGCGTGGTGTTGTGGTCAGACCTAGGCCAGACGATTTGGTGGCGACGATTTCCTGTATAAGAGGACTCCCTGTAAGGAGTATCAGGGCGACAGAGACTCCTTTTTTTACAGCCATCTTTTCAGGGACTGTGCGCCCTCCCCTTTTCCCACGGAGTCGGCCCACCTGTACCACGAAGCGCACTTAGAAACGGCGTGGCTGTCTGTGCTCGTGGGCACGCACTCGCGTTCGCGCTGGAAGCTGGACCGCCCTGGTGGTCCCCGCCGCCCGAGGGCGGCAGGTGCGTGCGCGTCTCTGCGTGTTTGCTGAACGCGTGACCGGGTTCCTCATCTGCACGGGGAGGTAGGCGCCGAGCCCCAGGGCGTCCTTCCAGGCCCCAAAGCGAGCAGCGAGGGCTGGCCTGCGCTCTGTCTCTTGCAGGTCTCGTCCGTCGAGTTTTGACTCTCCTCGGTTCTAAATTAGAGTTACATCCACCGTTCTTTTTTGCCCAGTGCACACAGGCCATCGGACCCACTATGTTTGGGCCTCAGTTTCCTCATCTGCAAATTGGGGATGCTAATATCACGGCTGCTTGTGTCATAGAGATTGGGGTGAAGCTTCCAAAAGGCTTTTTTTTAAAAAAGATTTTATTTATTTATATTTAGAGAGGGAAGGGAGGGAGAGAGAGAGAGAGAGAGAGAGAGAGAAACATCAATGTGTGGTTGCTGGGGGTCGTGGCCTGCAACCCAGGCATGTACCCCGACTGGGAATTGAACCTGTGACACTTTGGTTCGCAGCCCGCGCTCAATCCACTGAGCTATGCCAGCCAGGGCTTTTTTTGTTGTTTTAACTTGAACGGACAAGGCCTGATCCTTGGCCTCAAGGAGAATCCGGTTCCGCGGACAGGCAAGAGAACCACTTGGCAAAATAGACGCATCAGCGCAAGAAAGGTCACAGGACCGAACTCGGAGTGGGGGCTGCTCGGGGACAGGTGTGGTGGCCGCTGGAATCACTGTTAGGGACCTGAGGGGGGCGGGCGCAGCGTGTTCTGTGTGCCCCACGGGTAGGCCGGCACCTTGCAGAACTGAGGCCAGTGGGCCAGGAGAAGGGGCCAGGTCTTGGGGTCCACAGATGACTTTGTGCAAACCCTTCCTACTCAGGTATTTGGACCACGTGGTCTCACAAGTCCGCCAAAGTGCTACGTGTGCCGAGAGGAGGGGGGAGGGGAGGGTGGCGACCAGGTCCCCCTTGTGAGGCTGGGAGGAGGCGGCCCAGAGCGGGAAGGACCAGTAAGCGCAGCCCCCTTCTCGGGTGTGGGGGGGGGGAGGGTGGGGGGGGGGAGGGTGGTGGATGGGGTGGCCCAGTGAAGCTGAGTGAGGAGGAGGAGGGTACAGAAACAGGTGGCAGGGCGAGACCTCGGTGCCCTGGACCGGGCTGAGGTGTCTGAGTCCGGTCAGGACAGGTGACAGGGCGTTGCCATGGGACTGGAGGCGGGGCTGCGGATCAGCACGCGTGTGGTGGGCGGAGCCAGCATACAGCGCATGCTCAGACCCTGCTGCTCGGTGCCCCGGGATCGCTTCTTCTGCCATCTTTCAGGCTGGCGCCGTTTCCCCTCGGCACCGTCACACACAGCTGCCAACCGCATTTCGTTTCTTTTCTTGCCAGTCGTCTCTGCACTTGTTCCATGATGCTTTTTCTGAACCGTGGTCCGAATCGCCACTGTGGTGTTCCCGAGTCTCCTGCGGCTTCACAGGGCGGTGCCGCAATGTCCGAATCTATTGGCGTGATTTCGACGCGCTGCCTTTCCCCCCGCACGTTCTCTGCCGCGGGGACAGCCGCGCCTGTGTCTTCACGCACCCCGCTCCTCCTGCAGGGCCCTCGTCCACCTTCTCACCTGAGAGCGCCCCAGCCTCCTCCCAGCCCCACCGCCAGCCTCGGCGACGCGCTCGCCGCTGTCCTCCGTCCTCACTCTCCTAGCATGTACTTCAGGTCTGGGAACATGCACAGCGCACTGACGCGTATTTTAGGGCCATGTGTTCTACTTCTCTCTCCTGCATGAGCCTGGGAGTCCTTTGAGGGACGGGGACTGTGTCTTCTTTGTCTCGGGGTCCCCAGCCCCAGGCCCTTGGTAGAGTAGAGTGCTCTGGATACTGGCAGCGTGGACTTCAGCTGACTAGCTGGGCGGAGACACCCCCCGAGCGCCGATGTCCCCAGGAGTGTGGAAGGGAGTCACGTGGGCAGGCAAGGACCAGGGTGGGGGTGGTCAAAAGAGTAACCATTTTTTTCTTGTCAAGTAAACATAGTCATTTTTTTCAACTAATGGAGTACCTGCTGGACGCGGCTCGTGGGGATACTAAGAGGTGTCGTATACAGTCTTTGGTCAACAGCCCTGAGATGTAGTCTGCAGAACTGCACGTAGGCGCAGAGCAAGCGCAGGTGCCAGGGGCTGTGAGGATGAACAAGGACCGTTGACCTCAGCAAGCAAGGGCCCAGTGCTGCTGGAAGTCGGGCCTCCGGGGTCTTCAGGGTGGGGGCTGGTGGCTGGTCGGTTTGTGGGGGGGAGGCGGGTAGTGGGGTGGGGTGGGGTGGAGCCCGTGCCGGGGAACCAAAGGCACGTGTGACCCACGTTTTGAAACGAGCATTTCGTTTTGACCGACTCCAGGTAGACGGCCTTCTCCGAATTGTAACTGTTCGTGTGTCTATGTGTGTGTGTGTCTTGCGTGGCTCTGTTTTCCAGGCTCAAACCATGAACTACGTCGGGCAGCTGGCGGGCCAGGTGTTCGTCACCGTGAAGGAGCTCTACAAGGGCTTGAACCCCGCCACCTTGTCCGGATGCATCGACATCATCGTCGTCCGCCAGCCCAACGGGAGCCTGCAGTGCTCGCCCTTCCACGTCCGCTTCGGGAAGATGGGTGTCCTGCGCTCCCGGGAGAAAGTGGTGAGGGTCCGGGGCCCTGGAGGGTCCGGGCGGCTTCTCCCCGCAGGGAAGGTCACCGTAGTTCTGCGTCTCCACGTGTCTGGAGCGTGTCTCAGACCCGGATGTTTAGCTCTCCGTTGGAGAGGGCTGTCCCGGCCCTGGCTGGTGTAGCTCAGTGCATTGAGCTCGGGCTGCGAACCAAAGTGTCGCAGGTTCGATTCCCAGTCAGGGTATGTGCCTGGGTTGCAGGCCATGATCCCCAGTAACTGCACATTGATGTTTCTCTCTCTCTCTCTCTCTTCCTCCCTTCCCTCTCTAAAAAATAAATAAATAAAATCTTTAAAAAAATAAAAAAAATAAATAAAGGGTTGTTCCCTGAGTTGACAGTCAGTTCAGATGGTTCTGGTGACTGTGGCTGTGCAAATCACCCCCACGCTGACGGGCGTTAAGCTCCCGGGTTCCACGAGCATTGAGTTCCACTGCTCATGAGGCCTCCTGGGTTCTGGGGTCAGGAATCCAGGCCCAGCGCGGCAGGGCCATCTGGGGCCTCAGCTGGAGGGCTCTGGGCTGGGGGCGGGAACCCTCTGAGGGCCTGCTCACTCACACGACCCATGGCCCTTGGCCCTTGGCTGGCCTCCCAGGAGGCTGTTGGCCTCTCCATGTGGGCTGGGCATCCTCACAGCATGGTGGCTAGCTGTAAGGGCGAGCATGGAGAGAGAGAGTGACAGAGAGAGAGAGAGAGAGTGACAGAGAGAGAGAGAGAGAGGGAGAGAGAGAGACAGCGCGAGCCGGGTGGATGCTCCATTTTTTTCTGGACCTAGCTTCTGAAGTCACCTAATGTGTTCTGCTCATTAAGGCAGTCACAAGCCTGCCGGGCTGGAAGCCATGGAGGTGTGGGTGGGCAGGTCGGCTCCACTTACGGATGGGGAAGCGCAGGTAGGGCCGGACTGGCCGGCTGAGAGTGGGGATTGTGAGATGTGTGTGGCGTGTGTGCGCGGTTCAAGTGTGTGTGTCTGTGGGGGCGGGACCACCCCGCCAGGTCCGCTTCCTGCTGTGGAGACACATGTTTCCCTTTCAGGTCGACATAGAAATCAACGGGGAGTCCGTGGATTTGCACATGAAACTGGGAGATAACGGAGAAGCATTTTTTGTTCAAGAGACTGATAATGATCAGGTAGGGAAGGCTGGGTGGTCAGGAAGTATACTTCCTGGCTCTGAGCCTTGAGCAACGCTTATCTAAGGGACAGGGGAGGTGTAGGCGGAGGGTGACGCCGGCGCCCGGCTGTGTGGACAGCGATGACGGCGGCGGAGGAGGCAGGCACCGGCCTGCCCTGGGGTCTGAGCCAGGCAGGCTGCCCGCGCTGGGCCCGCACGCGCCTCAGCAGCCCCGGCTGCTCCCATTGGCTCGCGGTCTGCAGGGAGGCGGGAGAACCAATCCCCTTGGCCTGAAAACCCTTGTCCGAAGCTGACACATGACACTGGTGTCAAACCTTAAGAGGGCTGTGTGTTGGAATTTTTGTTTAACGAGTGACCAGATTTACTTTATTTATTTAAATTTTTATTTTAATGATCTAAAAATTTCTAACAGCGTCGCTGAGATAATTCTCATACCGCAGAATGTATCCATTTCAGGTGTATAGTTCAGTGGTTTTTAGTGTTTTCACAGATGTGTCACCGGCTTTCACAATTGCTAGCACAGTCAATTTTATTTATTTAAAAAAAGATTTTATTTATTTATTTATTTTTATTTTTAGAGAGGGAAGGGAGGGAGAAAAAGAGAGAGAGAGAGAGAGAAACATCAATGGGCAGTTGCTGGGGGTCATGGCCTGCAACCTAGGCATGTGCCCTGACTGGGAATCGAACCTGTGATGCCTGGTTCGCAGCCCGCGCTCAATCCACTGAGCTACACCAGCCAGGGCCACAGTCAATTTTAGAGCATGCCCATCACCTCAAGCAGAAACTGTGTCGTTCCCTGTAGTTGTCACCTCCCCCTCCCTGTCCCTCCACCCGCCCCCCCGGAGCCCCGAGCAACCGCTAGCCTGCTTTCCGTCTCAGCGGATTTCCTTCTTCTGAGCTTCCATGTAAACGGGCCCGTGTGCTGGCTGATCCCGTATTCCTGTCTGCACCCACTCATCCTGACGTTCTCAAGGTCATCCGCGGTCCCGCACAAGGTCACCCGTGTTCCAGCGGGCACTGCGTTCTCCTGTGTGGTGAACGGTGTTCCATTGTATCGATGCCCCACGCTCTGCTTGTCCTTCCACGAGTGGGTGGACCCTTGGGTGGTTTTCCCCTTTTGTGAATAATGCTGCTGTGACTGTTCGTGTACAAGTTTTCACGTGGATGCGTGTTTCCACTTCTCTTGGGCGAACATGTCTGGGAGCGGAGTTGCGGGGTCAGATGGTGACTAACTGCGTTTAACGTTTGAGGAACCACCAGACTGTTGTCCAGGGCTGCTGCGCCACTTGCGTTTTCATCAGCAGGGTGTTGTCATCGGCGGTGCGTGGGAGTTCCCTCTTGCCCGCGTTTCCACCAATACTGCTGGTCTGACTCTGTGCTCACAGCCGTCCCCGTGGGAGTGGGGTGGTGTCTCACTGTGGCTGTGAACTGCCTCCCCCCGGTGACTGGTGGGGGCTGAGCATTGGTTCCAGGGCTTACTGGCCATTTGTGTATCTTCTCTGGACAAGTGTCTATTCAGAGTCTTTGCTCATTTCTTAATTGGGTTGCCTTTTTATTATTGAATTGTAAGAACTTGTAATCTATTCTAGACACAAGCCCCTTATAATCTGTTTGACTTGTAGGCATTTTCTTCCATTGTGTCAGCTGTTTTTGCACTTTCTTGGTGGTGTCTTTCGAAGCACAAAGTTTTAAATTTTGTTGGAGTTCAATGTATCTACTTTGTCTTTTGTTGCTTGGGCTTTTGGTGTCTAGGAATCCTTTGCCCAATCCAAGGTCGCAAAGATTGGTCCCTGTGTTTTCTTCTAGATAAACTGCTTTTTTGACTCTTTTACGCACCGAGAGAGCCACTTGGACTCGACCCGAGGTGGTCATGCCTCAGCCAAGTCTGCTCGAGCTCATTCCTTCCAGGGAAGGCGGCCTGGGTGAAAAGGAACGGCCCTGGGCTCTGGAGCAGGTGTCCCACTTTCCGCTTCCTCCTGGCCCGCCCGCAGGTGTGGCACAGAGGGCGGGCATCCCCCTGCTGTGCCTCCTGTCTTCGCAACTGGGCTGTGGCCTTGGCCGTCAGGGGCCCCTGCCTGCCTGCCTGCCTGCCTGCCTGCTCTTTACCTCCCCATTCAGAGGGAAGGCTGTGAGATTATGAATTAGTTCCTAATGGTGCTTCGACAGACACTTTTCCCACCTCAAATGCACGCTTGCCTTTTAAACTTCTGTTTCCCCTGGGCTTTCAGCGGCTGTTGTGTTGTAAGAGCTGCAGAAGCACTTCGGGTGAGGAAGCTGCAAACCTCAGAGGGCCTGCTGGGCTGGCCTTACAGGTGCCGGTGGGTGGCCGGGGTCAGGAGGCCAGAGCGCGTTCTGTCCCATCCGATGACCCTTTCTGCCGCTGAGAGGCTGCTGGGAACTGGGGGGCCCGTGTCCTTCCTCAGCAGGCTGCTGCGGGGTGCTGTCTCCCCTCTACGGCAGAGCTGCACCCCTTCCCTCTTCAGCCAGTGGGACCTTCTTTCCTGCTCTTGACCCAGTGTCAGTGCGCGCTGCGTTTCTTCTTCACTTGGTCCAGTTGAGCAGCTGGATGAGATGGCCTCCCCTGTCCCTTCTAACCTCTCCCGTCCCTTCTGGCCTCCCTCCTCCCTCCCAGCCTCTCCCATCCCTTCTGGCCTCCCCCATCCCTTCCAGCCTCTCCCGTCCCTCCCAGCCTCTCCCATCCCTTCCGGCCTCCCCTGTCCCTTCTGAACTCCCCCATCCCTTCCGGCCTCTCCTGTCCCTTCCAGCCTCCCCCATCCCTTCCGGCCTCTCCCCTCCCTTCCAGCCTCTCCCGTCCCTTCCAGCCTCTCCCGTCCCTTCCAGCCTCCCCCGTCCCTTCCGGCCTGAGGTGGAGCCTCTCAGATGTAGGTTTTGTGTCTGTTGCACACTTGCTGTTCCCTCAGCCACTTCCACGCCAGCAGCGTGTTTGCGTTCACCCCTTTTTACACGTGTTCTTCCCTTCCTGTTACCAGGCTTCTCATAATACATGAATCGTTCACAAAATGATTCCTATAGCTTTTAAAGCACCGGCGAATCACCGGTCAGCTATTAAATGGACAGGCTCTGTATTCTTTTCTTTTTGCCTTTTTATCTTTTTAAAAAAATTTATTATTTTTGATTGTATTTTTTCCCCATTACAATTTAGTCCCCTGATGCCCCCACCCCCCTCCTTTTGTCTTTACGGAAAGGGTCAGTATCTGATTATTGGACGTCGCGTGCCTGGCTGCCCCCTGACCCGGGCAGGCCCTTGGGGGCAGCACGGGGGGCTGTGCAGTCTTTCCCAAACACACGGACATCTCAGTTCCATGCACGTTCAACACACACACGCATTCTCGCTCGTACACACACACCCCCTCACCGACACGGAGGTGAGAAACTGGGTCTAGTTCCCCGGGTGACGTGACGACTCAGAACCCAGTTTCTCCTCTTCACTCTGGATAGCTCCGAGTTGAATTTTGGTGGCGTGAGATGACTGATACTTACCTCGCTCCGTTATGATTATGAAAAGTTGGAATCAGCAGCACTGGCATTTGAAGAATTCACTGCTGACTCCGTGGTCTCCTGCCCAGGCCACTGCGGCGTCTCTCCTCACGATCCACGTGGCGGTCCCCAAGCGGTGCTGGGGCTCCCACACGGGCACCGGCACGCCCTAGGCACGGTCCTGCTCCCGGACCCAAGTGAACGAGGCTCTTTTTTAAAAAAACCCTTCTGTCCCTTAGGAGGTGATCCCCATGCACCTGGCCACCTCCCCCATCCTGTCGGAAGGAGCCTTGCGGATGGAGTGCCAGCTGCGGAGGAACTCGGTCGACCGGGCGCGCGGCCTGGACGCTGGCGCGCCGGCCCCAGTCCTGGCTCCCAGCGAGGCCCCTTCCGGCAGCTCTTCGGTGAAGAAGAGAAGGAAGAGGAGGAGGAAGTCCCAGCTGGACAGCCTGAAAAGGGACGACAACACCAACACGTCGGAAGACGAAGACATGTTCCCCATCGAGATGAGCTCCGATGAGGAGACGGACCCGCCGGACAGCAGTAGGTGAGTGTCAGTCACAGGCAGGTCCCGCCTGAGAGCTGCTGACACCGTTTCTTAAGAATTTCCCCCTGAGAATTCCTTATTTTTTTTTTTGTTCATGCATTTTAGGCTGAATGTTGTAATCCTGTGGACCCAATGTTTAAGTAGCAAAGATTAAAAAAAAAAAACCCACAACAATTTATTTATTTTCAGAGAAAGGGGGAGGGAGGGAGAAAGAGAGGGAGGGAAACAGCAACGTGTGGCTGCCTGTTGGGTGCCCCCTACTGGGGTCCTGGCCCACAACTCAGGCCTGTGCCGTGAGTGGGAATTGAACCTGCGACTCTTTGGCTTGGAGGCTGGCACTTCATCCACTGAGCCACACCAGCCAGGGCTAGTAGCACACGTTGGACGTAGCTTACAACTAAGTTGGTGGGTGATGCGGACTTCCGTGGCTGCTCCCCTCAGCTCTGCAGCCGAGGCATGAGTGCGAAGCACCTTTGCACTGTCCGCGTCTCGGCTTCCCCCGCTGCACCGCCTGGGACGCGGCCGGGCGCTCCGGGGATCCCGATCACGGAGACGGGGCGGCGTTAGGAGTCTGTTGCCGACGACCCTGAGTCTTTCATTGTTGTTATTTTCTCAAACCAGAACTCTCTGTAACGACACGCCGCCATTCCAAGAAGACGTCCCCAAGGAGAACCTTCCCTCGGTCCTGACTTACCCCCAGTCGGCGTCGTACCCCAACTCCGATCGGGAGTGGTCCCCCAGCACCAGGTGAGCCGCGAGCGCGCATGCGCGCGTGTGGGGGCGTGTAGCGTGTTCACCGGTCCCAGACCCGGTCCCCGTCCCGCGGATCGGAAGTCAGTCCTGGGAAAAATGCCCTTTAGGGTGGGAGGTACAGGTGGGGACCGAAGTGACCCGCGCAGGCCTTTACCTCCCCACGTCGGAGCCGCGCTGCAGAGACGGCTCTGGGCTCCCCGAGGCGACGCAGAAAGTTAACTGACGTGACGCCAGTTGTCCCCGGGGGGAAGGCAGGTGCCGACGCCCTTGCCTGATGCTTAACTCTAAAGATTCAGACGGCGAGGTTGCTCCCGGGCTGCCCAGGTCGCTGGGGCTGTTAGAACGACGCCCTCTGCCCGAGCTCAGTCCTTTCTGCTAAACTCAGGGATGCTTATTTCCCCTAGACGAGCTCTCAGGTTGGCCTTGACCTCTGGTAGGAGCTGGGGAGCCAGGGCTGCCCAGCATGCAGCTCGCCCCACTGAGGGTCCTGAGACTTTTAAGTCTGTGGAACCCCAGGAAATGTATGGAAACCCTCTGGGCATTCTTCTGGAGACTGGGGGAGGGGCGGATCTCGGTCGTGCCGACTCGATAGGGGTGACAGCAGCCCATCGGCACGAAAATTGGTTCGTGGGTGGTGAACCCCGCCTCAGGCCTTATGCTGGGCTGTGGCCTGTAATGAGCCACAGCACAGAAACGGGTCCCCAGTGTGTCCGTGGAAGGGGATCCCTTGGTGGAGGGAGGGCTTTTAGGGGGCGGTGTCTCAGTATGCGCAGGAGTGTGTGTGGCCGTGAAAAGGGCCCGAGAAACGGCGGTCGAAGTGATCGTGAGCAGCGTCCCTGGGTGGTTCTTCTTCTGAGTGTGTAGGATGGACGTCCGGTTTACAATGGACGTGCGGGAGCCCCGGCCAGCTCCAGCACCTGCCTGCAGCCCGTCCCCTGCACCCTGGGTCCTGGTGCCCTCGTTGGTGACACAGCACGGGGAGCAGGGTGTGCCGAGCTTGAGGTCGGAGAGGACGAGACGGTCCGAGGGCCCGGGTGCAGGCGGGACTGTCACCAGGACTGTCCGTCAGCCGCGTGGGGCTGGGGCCTGGACTTGTCTAAGGACAGCTGTGTCCCCCAGACACTGCCACCCCCACGGGTAAGTCACGGCTTTCCAGAGGCTACCCTGAACAGTGGAAAGAAACTGATGACATGAACTTGGATGTTCCATTAGATTTGACCCAATGTATCCAAAATACCATTTCAAGGACTCTGTTTTTGCATACATTGATAATGAGCTCTTTCTCATTGTATTTTTGTACTGAGTCCTTGAAGTCGCTGTGTGTGTTGCACGCACAGAACTCGCCAGTGTGGACTAGTCACATGTCACGTGCTCAGCAGTCCCCTGCAGCCGGTGGCTGTCCTGTCGTGCGGTACAGGTGGCGGGACACCTTTCCAGAGCCCCAGGAGGGAAAAACGCAGCACCTCAGGAGCCAGCTGTGTGGGACGGGCGGAGACCACGAACAGGCTGGAAAGTCTGCTCAAACACTCCTGACTAATATAGTCTAAAATTAATGTCTTCAGTATAACCCCAGAGAGGTTTTCTCAGTCTGTCACGTTTTACGCTGTGAACCCAGAGTGGTGGCCATGTCAGATTATGTGGATCTGACTGTTGTGGAAAATCCACCCACACTCGGGGAGATAACGAAGCACAAACTTTATTACCTGGGGGGCTCAAGGGTTAATTCCCAAATCCCGAGCCGAAAAGGCTGGGTTAGGGGTCCTTGGGGAACCAGCTGCTGAAAGCAAGCATTCAGAAGCAGGGGCAAGGTTAGTGACCTTCAGATAACGTTACATAGCAACATCTTGCTAGCTGGCTCTTTACCTAAAAATAACTTTTACTCAGCTTTTGTCCAGACAAAACTTGCAAGTGTTACAGAGAGCAGTTTCTTTTCCTGCCACATGACCACCGTCAATTGCAATTACAAATTAAGATAAATAGGTCATTTCCGTACCAGGAATTACGCATTTTCTTTATTTAAAGAGACAGCCGACAGCACGAACAGTCAAACCGCTTACTCCAAAGACCGGGCAGAGCACTGATCTCTGACCAGAGGAAAACAGTCTTTCCCGGGCAGACGGATGAGCTGGAAAGGGCAATGGGCCTTCGGGAAGTCTTCCCTGTTTTTTTTTTTTTTTTTTTTGCGGATACGGCAGTTCGTGTTGATTTCTAAGTGATTTCAACCTGTCTGTCTGCCGCTGTCAGTTGCCGGAGGAACCTTCATTTCCTTACAGACGGGATCGTTGAGAGCGGTCCTCAGTTTCCATGAACTTCCGTTGCTCCTCTGACTGACCTGTGATCTCTTTTCCTCTCCACGTGCATCGCCCAGGAGCCTGCTGGACGGCCAGCGGAGCCCCCCTCACCTGGCGGACCTGGCCGAGGGCGGGCTGTCTAGTTCTTGCCCTCCGCAGCCGTGCCTCCTCCTCGCCTCGGACAGGTAGCGGCCACTGCCCCCCCGCCCCCGCCCCGGGGCGGGTGCCTTCGATAACGACACGTTCCACTTAGCCCCTACAAGCCTGTCTCACCACTAACCGCAATTCCTTACGCAGCAAGTGCTTAGAGACCCTGTGAGGTGAAGATTTGCATCTAACTCTCCCAAATCTTTTTTACTAACCAATCAAATTACTTACGATGAAACTACATAGAGATTACTGTTCCGCTTTCATTGTAAACACTTGTAGATTTCTTTTCAACTACTGCCTTTGACTCTCTGGGGATTATGGTTGAGCCTCTCCTTCTCCCTACTTCTGGGGAGTGGTTTGAACATAGAAGAACGAAACAAAACTGGGGAATATGATCTTTTGTTCTCTGTCTGGGGTTGTTCAGCAAGTAAGTTTACAGGATTTTTTTTTTTTAGGATATCCCTTTAACGGAGGTTATTATCATTATTTAAATAGCTTATTAAACTTTCTGAGTAGTGGCGTCAGATGTTTTCACAGCATTTCTAGAACAGAGCTGTGGAGAACAGGATCGGATAGGACAGATCCTGAGGCTGAGGGCCGTATATTTGTTTTCTGGTTCAAGGCCGCGGTCTCAGATCTCTGCCCTGTTCCCTCGGGGTTGCCCTTTGCGGGGTTGCCCTCTGCGGGGTTGCACGCCTGCCCTGCGGTCCAGCTTTGTGGACTTGTGGGGCTTCAAAATTTGAGTGTGGGAAGCTGTGATTGATTTCTAGGTGGGAAACGGTGCTTCTCTTTGACTCAAGAACCACATCTCAGGATGCACACGTCATCCCGAGGGCACACGCACAGGAGAAAGGCCACTTTAGAACATGGTCAGCTGAGCCGGGAGCCGTTACGACCGAGGGCCCGATGGGGACCGGCAGAGATACTGCACGGCTGTGGGGGCTAGTGAATGCATCCCTTAGGAAAATCAGCCAGTGCCCTCGTAAGCTTGCTTTGTGGAGCAACCCCGGAATGCACGCAGAAACCTCACGGTTGGCCGTGGGAAACTCTGGAATCATCGTTCTCGTCAGTCACATCCAGGATCGGGAGTCTTTGACTAATTCAGCTTCAGGCGCACCCCCAGCGAGTGGCCAGCGTGAGCGTGTGTGTGTGTGTGTGTGTGTGTGGGCGCAGACTCCTTCGAGAAAGGCTGGCATGACCGAGGGGGCCAGCGTCCATGATAGCCCAGCGCCGGGGCAGGTGGGATGTGCAGCTTGTCTGTGCCTTTCCCACGCACAGGGCTTGCTTCTAGTGTGTGAGCCTGCGTCTGCAAACCTGAACGCCTCTGGCCACCTCGTGACGTTCTATGGAAGGGTCGGGATGTTCGGGGTCCTGGAGTCGGGGCCGGCTCTGGAGCTGCGCTCAGCCTTGACGCCCTCTGGAGCGGAGGCTGGCAGACCACGCGCAGCATGTAGCACCGGGGCCAGATCGGGCCCGCCATCTGCTCCTCTGAAGGTTCGCCAGTTTGTTTGCACACTGGCTCTGGCCGCGTTCCCTCCCTCCGTGATGGCGGAGCTGAGTAGCTGGGACGGAGATCGCGTAGCCCACAGAGCCTGAGATATTTGCATTCCGGCCTTTTACAGAAGAAGTTTGCTGACCCCCCCTCCCCCGCACTCTAGAGCAAGTTCAGCCCCAAGGGCTTTGCTTAATTTAGTGGCAGTGGGTGACGCCAGCTATTTCACAGAATCTATAATAAGTTATCATAACAAAAGGTTATACAAATTGTATTTTGTGCGATCAATACAATGAGCGGTGTAGGGGCTTTTTAGACAGGTGACCTGTGACTTGGCTGCAGCTCTGAAGAGGGTGGGAGCTGGTCTCCCGTGAGGCCCGGGAGGGGCGTGGCCTCGGGTCCAAGCTGTAGACCCAAAGGCGGCAGTGCCCCCTGTGCCGGCTTCATGGATGCTGAGCATGAAACTGCGGACACGCAGTGTCGGAGTAGCAGTGACCCTTTGGAGACAAGCGTCGTGACGGAGCTGGAGGAGGCAGAGAGGTTGGTTGGGAGGCGGTGACCCTTTCCCACTCAGACGTGTGGCGGTCCCAGCGTTCCTGCTCAAGGACGCTTTCCTGACGGGCAGTGTTGGGGGACGTGCCCCATTTTCTGTGCTGTCACGAAATGCCATCTCAGGACCCTTGTCTCCACGGGCTGGCGGAGCAGACCTGGGGGCTACCGCACGGCGCCCCGTCATGTGGATGGATGGAGGGCGGTGGGCACCTCGGGGGCAGGGAGCAGCCCTTGTGCCTCTCGGAGTCGGGGGGGGGGACGGGAGCAGGCTCAGTCCGCTGGGTCCCAATGGCTTGAATAAGGACGTTGAGGGTCAATTCAGCCACCGAGGGCCCGGATTGGATCCGAGTTAGTGTCATCCACGAGCCCCCACGCCCTGATGGGAAGGCTGTGCTCCAAGGGGGTGACCCTGACCCCGACACGGGACCAGGCGTGTCCGTGGGAGGCGAGACATGGTGCAGAGGAACCTGGGGCAGCTCCCTTTCTGGCTGCACTCGAAAACGGCCGTCTCACTCGGGAGGAGGGGATGCAGGAGAATAACGACGAGCAGCAATTACCGGAGTATTTTGTTTCCCCACCTGCATGTCTAGAATGCGGTGAGAATTTTGTCAGTCAGTGGACTACTCTTGGCAGGTGACAGGCTGTGAGTGTGGTGGCATCTGGCATTTGCGGTCAAGTTGGCACACGATGCGATTTCCTCTTTTCAAAGCCAGTGCAGGCTCTAGTCTGTATTTTAAGTGTGGAACAGAATGGGCACGCATGTGTCGGCGACGGCCAGGGAGGGCCCCGCAGTGCCTGGAGAGTGACTGGAAATTGGGGGTGCAGCAGGGGTGCGCTCGGGGCGGGCCTGGGCGGGGAATGGCTGGGGGCGAAGTAACGAAAAACTCTCTTTTTCCCTGTTTCTTTTCGTCTGTCTCTCTTTTTCACTTTTCCCTTTTTAATGCTACTCCTCATCCTTTCTCCCTGGAGCTTGGCAGTTGGTTGGGACCAGGTCACGCACCCTGGGAGCACCTTCCCCCTGGACAGGTGTCCTGTGGACCCCTGGCAGCCACAGAGGGACGTGCCACGAAGCCATGCTCCTGAGGCAGCGATTTTCACCCGGTTCGCCCCAAGAACTTGTAAAACATGCAACACCCGACTCTCCAGTCAGGGCAGCGACCTCTTTCCCCTCGGGCTGTCAAACAGAAAAATGGCAACAGCCCAGACAATAGCCGTCTGGTGTGAATGAATCAAAGTCATACCGATTTTGGTCAAATCTGCCAAACATATTTTCCGGAGGTGCTGCAGAATTTTAGTAGTTGGTTTACGTGTGGCATGAGATGAAAAAGGTTGAAGACCGCTGTCCCAAGGCAATGGCGACTTGGCTGCATTTTCTGGGCTATCTGAACCATGTTAATTCTGGGCCAAAAACATTTTTTTAAAAATAGTTTGCCTTCCCACTTTAATCACGGGTCTGTGTTGTGTTAAGCCCCTCAGGGTCCCGGCCTTCCACGCCCAAAAGCGACTCGGAGCTGGTCAGTAAGTCCGCGGCGGACAGGACGATGCAGAAGAGCAACCTGGAGATGCTCTGGCTCTGGGGGGAGCTGCCGCAAGCCGCCAAAGTGAGTGGTTTTCCTGGGAACTTCGCTTCCTGCCGCAGACCGGAGGCACTTTCTCAAGACATGAAATGGACACAGGGTTTTTATTTCAAGGAGCTGTATTTTATATTCCAGTGCATTTTGCAAATCTTGAATTATATTACTGTGTTTCAGGTTGTTTTTTCTTTGACTTACTATAAAGCCCTTGGAGATGCCGCAGCCTCTGGCGTCTCCCCTAAATGTTTATGATCCGAGCGAGCCAGCGGAGGAGTGGGGGGGGGGGGGGCGTTCTGTTAAGACTCAAGATGGGCAGCTCGTCGGGGAGTAGGTCGGTTGGGGCTGACCCTGGGGATTCATGCCCTTTTTAGGCTCGATTTAGCTTTCACGGAAAACGCTGCTTTCTCTGCCCACAAACTGTCGTGCTGACCCAGCGAACCCTCCTCACTGCACTACGTCACTGGTTGCTGGGAAACGGCGCGGACTTGCCCAGCCACCGCCTCCGGACAAAGCCCCACCCACAGGCTGCGCGGTGTGTGCACCTGGGAGCCGCTGGGACGGGTGCCGGCCTAACGCCCTCTCCCGGCCCCGGTCCCGATGGGCTCGTTGCATTTCTGTGTTTATTTGGATGAATCTTTTCTGTAACTGGAAACTTCTTGGAGAGGCAGAGTCAGAAATGCTAGTTTCCTGCTCACGTGAACCAGCCACCAGATACATTTTCACCCACTCACTCACATTTTGGGGTGAAATACACATATATACTGTATTTTTCCATGTATAGTGTGCTCCCGTGTATACTGTGCACCCACGTTTTTGGCCCAAACTTTCAGGAAAAAAAATCTTTTGTTTTAATTCATTGTATTTATTTATATTTAGAAGCAAAACCAATGATCACATTCTAGGATATTAATTTGCATATGGATATCATTATTGCTTTTTAGAGTTACGCTTTTAATGCAGAAGCGTAAATAAAAATTAAAAACATTTATATAGATATGGAATTAGTAATATCCATGTATAATGCGCAGCCTTATTTTTCCCTAAAAAAGTTGGGCAAAAAAGTGAGCATCATACATGGCAAGAGTGAGCATTCTACAGTACATGGAAATGCCCAGGTCATAAGTGCGTGCATAGGGCAATACATTTTCCCACGTGTCCGTGTGACTTGCACCCAGACCACGAAGCTGGACCGACTTGGGGGCCCCCACCTTGGCAGTTACTGCTCGTACTGACCCTCCATAGGGACAGACGTGATCTCGACTCTCTTAACAGCAGAGACTGGTTTTGCAAGCTTCAATCCGTACCTGTGTTAATTACAACTCCTTTATTCTCATTGCTGCAAAATCCCCCTCTGTGTGTGTGTGTGTGTGTGTGTGTGTGTGTGTGTGTGTGTGTGTGTACCGTTCTCCTGATGGGCACGTGGGTTGCTGCCACCTGCTGGCCATTCCTCACCTCGCTCACTTCTGCTTGCCAGTGGGTATTTTTTAGAGAAGTTCCTTTGCTTTGGCAGATGTGGAAACTTCCACGGGACCCCTCAGGCTGAGGCGTCTCCTGCCAAGTGTGGACAATTCAGCAGATCCTTTTCTGGCTCAGTGTGGTTCTTCGGTTGACTCAGTTTCCCTGTTTGCCTGTGCTCTGACCCCGTCTCTCTCTCTCCCCCTGCCCCTTTGGTCCAGACTTCGCCACACAAGACGAAAGATTCCAGCCCTCTGAGCAGCAGGAAAATCTGTGAGAAAATTCACTTTCAGGCCATTCACAGTGAATCTTCCGATGCGTTTAGTGACCAGTCGCCGACGTCGGCTGGGGCACCTCGCGTGCAGCCACTTTCAGAGCAGAGCAAGTCGCAGACAGAGATGCAGTTTGTGAACGAGGAAGACGCCGAGGCCTTGGGCGCCGCGGCCCCGCCGCCGCCGCCGCCCGCCGCGGAGGACGCCAGAGCCCTGGCTGCCGTGGCGAGCAAGACCGAGTCGCCTTCCAGGAGAAAAGGTGCGCGAGGGCGGGGGCTCTCCGCCTCCCTGTGCGGAGGTGCGGCTCCACCAGTGACGGCCCTCCCTTCGGACGTCCAGGGCTCTGAGCCGGGACGTCAGCTGCGTACAGTTGCGCGCCTCGCGCCCCTTTGCGGAGGATATTATTTGTGAGACCTTAGCTGTAGGAAATGAGACGTACAGGAGGTCTTGGGGATCGGGTAGCGAACCCCTCACCTTACAGCTCGGGGGTGCTGGGTTCCAGAGGAAGAGCATCCTTTCCGGCATGCTCTGGGCTACTCAGCTAATCCGGTCCCCTCTCCCCCGCCCCCAGCTTCTCTCTGTGCATCGCTCGGTTTCAGTTTCTGCTTACCACCTTTCAGATGCTCATTTGTTTGTTGGCTTCGCCCGGCGCCCCAGTGCAACCTAGGTGCTCGGCGAGGCCAAGGCTCTTGGTCTGGTTTAGCTTTGTTTCCTCGCTGCTTTCAGTAGTGGTTGGCACCCAGTAGGTGCTCCATAAACCCTACTTAATGCACACCTGGTTGCGCGTCAGAGTGATGATGTGAACCGTAACCCGCCAGCCAGTTGGCTTGGTACCAGCCCAGGACCCAGTGCCGGAAGCGAGCAGGTCTGCAGCCAGCGCGCACGTGGGTGCTGTGCTCCCGCGCATCGGGCTGGATGAAAGCGCATCGCTTAGCAATGATGATGCTAATCACTTCGGTGGAGGGAGTGCAGGTCCCAGATGGGCAGTGAGGCGCTCGGTCACGTGACTTGGTCCAGGCCACACAGTCAGCCAGCGATGGCATTGCATGCAGACCAGGGCACCTGTCTTTGCAGTAACGCTCTGCTGCCAGCCTCTGAGGGTGGGGTTCTGGGGCCAGTTTGGGCCCTTCCCAGCACGGGTGCACGCTGTGCTGTGCTTTCTGGAGACCCTGGGAGGTCCCCGGGCTCCTTTCGGGAGGAGCAGCATTCTGACGCACCCCGTGTGCCTCCATAGACAAACGAAGCAGACACCTCGGTGCCGATGGCGTCTACCTGGATGACCTCACGGAGATGGACCCCGAGGTGGCTGCCCTGTATTTCCCCAAAAAGTAAGGTTTCTCCCTATTCTTCACGTCCCTTTCTGTACCCTGAGTCGGAGCCTGTGTGAGTTCACTTTCCCTGCTCTTTGATGAGAAGGTGGGAAAAGGCGGCAGGAGGCCCGCGTCTCACTGGGAGGAGTGGGCAGTGGAAACGGGGATTTCCTCTGCAGGCAGAGCGCGGGGGTGGGGGTGTCTCCCGGCGGCTCCTCACCTTCGGAGCAGGGACCCCCCCGCACAGGGCTGTGGCTCCCGATGACGCTGAGGCTGCATTGCCGTGACCAGTGCCCAGAGTGGCATCTGCGTGGCTCTTTCTCCCTAGGACAGGGTGAAAGTTCTCCCGGGGTTTGCAGGGACGCCACGAGTGCAGAGCTGTGGCCTCTCGGGTGAGCCCTGTCCCTTCAGGTCTCCCCACGTGGGCCTGGGAGGGGGCGAGACAGGCAGAAGGTTGTATTCTCTCCCGGAGTAGTTCCCTTCACTCGTCTCGGCTTCCCACGGTGCATCACCAAAACATCCGTCTGAGACGAAGCCCTTTGCTGCTCTGCGGGGCCGTTGCATGTCTGTGTGAGACCCGAGGCCAGGAAGGTCCTCAGACCGCCCTCCCCTCCCCCTCCTTCCAGCGGGGATCCTGCCGGGCTCCCCAAGCATGCCGACAACGGGGCCCGGTCAGCCAACCAGTCCCCCCAGTCCGTGGGCAGCTCCGGCGTGGACAGTGGCGTGGAGAGCACCTCCGACGGCCTGCGGGACCTGCCGTCCATCGCCATCTCCCTCTGCGGCGGCCTCAGTGACAACAGGGAGATAACCACAGGTACACAACCACAGGTACCGCAGGGCTTTGGAGCCGGTCTTCAAGCCGAGAGCACCCTCTTGTGGCAGCTGGTCAGAACGCCCCGGAGCTGGGGCTGCTGGACTCGGTTCACAGCAGAAGTCGCCTCCCCTTCGCTGGGTTCCCAATACCACCGGTGACTCGCTGTTGCTCATGACCCACGTGTTGGTGGCCTGCACGTGGCTGACCTCGGGGTTCTGGGGTTCACACGTAGCTTCAGGCAGCGGCCTCGTCGGGGTCACTCATTGTCAGGCGTGTTCGCTCCACCTGGTGTGTGTCTCCGTGGCCCGCACCAGCCCCGTGGAGGTGTGGGAGCCTGCAGCCGGTGGGGCCACAGTGCACTGGAGGGGTGCACAAGTGCTGTGGCATCTTGGAGGAGGGGGGCCTCTGGGCAAGTCCAGGGACACTTCCCAGCTGGCCGTGAAGGGTGCTCTTAGTGTTGGCCTGGAGGGTGAATGAGTTCACAGCATTCACGATATCCACGAAGTGATTTCTCAGTGTCTCAGGACAGTTATATGGGGAGGTGGCCCCAGGCCCCCAGTCAGTGTGGCCAGCCAGTGCCACCTGACAAATTCCCCGAGGAGGCCTGGGTGTCCCTCTTCCACCCACCCCACCCCCTGCCACCACCCCACACTCCTGCTGTGGCCTGGTCCTGTTCCTCTTCCTCTCGCCACTCATGACCACCTCCCTGCCCGAGGTGCCATCCTGGACCCTGTCTCCATCCTGAGGTCCCTTCGTGGCTTTGGGAATTACTTCTTACGCAAAGACCAGGGCCCCTCATGCTGGCCCCGAACCCGCTAACCCGTCAGCCCAATGATGGCGAACTAAGGCGCCCCTGACCCGGGCCTCCCTGCCAGCCCTGGCGCCAGTGGGGCTGCGTCAGCGGCTGGGCCCCTCGTGGGCCTCCGCACCCCTGCAGGTGGCCATGGCCAGAGCCACACCCACTGACACGGAGCGAGCCCTTGTTTTAGGCAGGACACCGCCTTCTATCCGTGGCCTCGTCCATCCTCGCAGCTCCCGTGGAAGTTATGCCCCTGGGGCAGAGGGGGGGACTGAGGCGTGGGGACATGAACCGCTCTCCCAGGGTCACAGCATCAGGTGCGACTTACACCCAGGCCGCCCGGTGTCCGCGCCCCGCTTACCGTTCGCCTGCCTCCTCGGAGGCGCACGCAGACTGTGGTTTCCACGCTCCTGCCCCTGCCCTTCCCGCGTCTGCGCCCCAGCTAGGGGGGCGCTTCCCCCACGCCCTCAGTCGGCCCCGGGCTCCTCTCGTTCTGCGTGGACTTGGCCCCCCCAGACACACCGAGGTTCCCGCACTGACGCAGTAGGAGACCTGCCCCGCAGTTGCAGCGTGTGAGCTCTCGGCAGACCTGCCTGGGAGCGGGAGCCCGTGGGAATGCGCCGGCTCTGTCAGCCAGGCGTTCCTCACCTCTTCCCCCGCCCCCGGCGATTGCTTCCCCAGAAGCGTTTTTGGAACAAGCCGTGTCGTATCAGCAGTTTTCGGACAACCCTGCACTCATCGACGACCCCAACCTCGTGGTGAAGATCGGGAATAAGTGAGTTTCTCCGGGGAGCCGCGCGCAGGGGCGTGACGCCGTTTCGGCGTCAGGTTTTCCAGTGCAGAGACCTGGACGGCGGACCTTAGAAGTCAGGTCATGTGTTTATGTATATATATGTACGTGTCTTTGTTAAAACGTGTTGCTGTCAGTTCACCGTTGGCGAGAACCGTGGTGCAGGACAGTTGTTAGCCTGATGTGAGCGTTGAGCCTGTGGGCTTCCACGGTCTCGGTGCTGGGTTTCACAGGGGACCGTGGGCCGTCTCGGGCCTGTGGGGCCCGGGCGGGTGTAACAGAAGAGACTGTGTGTCCACCCCGGACAGCTTCCTCATCTGAGGTCCCCCAGACGAGCTGAGCGGGTGTCCAGGGACGTGCAGGCGTTCGGTAGACTGTTGGCAAGCTCTTCTCCCTGAGAGGTGGTCATGGATGTTTAAGGTCGTCGAAGTCAGGGAGCCTGGGCGCCCTTCCCTAGAAGCGCGGCAGGCAGTGCCACCAGCGTGGGGGCAACCCGGTGCACCGCGGGCCTCGGGCCGCCCTCCAGCGGCCGTGCGGCCTCCCGCTGCCTCCGACTGGACGTGCTGCTGCCCGGGCAGCCGCTCGGCCCCTCCCTGCGGCCACCCACAGCAAGGGTGGGGCATGCAGCGGGAGAGGGCTGGGGCGTGGGCAGCAGTTTTGGGCTCTTCACGGACCCAGCTGCAGTTCCAGAACTTTCCACGACCTCCTCTCATGCCGTGAGATTGTCAGGCCGAGCCTCGGTCTGACAGCTGTCTCACTGTCTCGCGCCAGGTACTATAACTGGACCACGGCGGCCCCGCTGCTCCTGGCCATGCAAGCTTTCCAGAAGCCTCTGCCAAAGGTGAGCGTCAGCGCGAGAAAGAAGGGGGCGCCGGCAGTGGTGGGCGGGTTAGTCTGCGTGGGTGCAGTTTAGATGTCGTTTTGTTTTAGTTACGTTGTGCTCTTTGAAGTTCCTGGCGTATCAGCGTCAGGGCGTTTGAATCCGTTTCTCTGGCACGTTGGATGTCCTCCCCCTTGTGCTCATCAAGGCAAACCTGTCCGCCGTGGGGGTGCCGGACCACGTCCTGCCTCCCCCAGGGCTCCTTTCCCAACTCCCGCTGTGCTGGGGACACGGGTGGGGGCGGAGCAGGCGGACGCTGGGGTGTCCCGAGCCGCGGATGGGGGGGGGGCCGCAGCCCAGCAGCGGACGTCAGGTGCTGGTGCCGGCTCCAGCCTCGGGCCCGATGGTCCGCCGAGGAGCCAGGGCAGGGCCCGGGCGCTCCAGGCTGCAGGTGAGAGTAGGCGAGGGGCTGAGGGAGACGCAGGGTGCGAGGTCAGACGCACCGGGGCAGCCACTGTGCTGTCATCCTACCCTTCCCAAAGCGTCATGGGCGCTCGGCCTGGAATTGTTCATTTTTCCAGCGCTGCGTCTTCCTGCTAGATCACACGCTGCTTTTTGGTCCCTTGTACACGTAGCAAGTGCTTCGTGCCGCTTTGCTGTTGCTGTCTGTCGGCTACTCCTGACGCCTGAGGGTCTGGGAGGGCTGACTGACTGTGATGAGTGCATTTGCTCCTTCTCGTGTGTGTGTGTGTGTGTGTGTGTGTGTGTGTGTGTGTTGGAGTTTGGGGCTTGTGACCTTTTTGGGGGGTATGTTCCCTGTGTGTACTGTGCTCTGGGTGGAGGGCCTGCTCTCCTGGGTGGGTTTTGTTTTTCTTGCCGGGTTCCTCGCGGTATCCGTGGCCCGGGACAAATTCTTACGTTACACATGTCAACTCTTACACGTTAATAAGCGAAAAGACCAGTGCAATGGAAATACCGTTAAAGGATGTAGTTTACCGAAAAGGAAATACCCGTGGCTTGTAAACTTAAAGACTTGGCGATACACATCCTAAATCTTTTTACAAGTTGTGTTGATGATTTTTTTTTTTTGACGGGTTCTGGCGTTTGTCTAATACAGAATTATATTTACACGTAGACTCTGTCAGTCTTGCACGGCTGTCGGGTTTCGTATCATACCTGGACTGGCCCTGCTTCCTCACTTCCAACACTCATCAAAATGTGCCCTGTCTCTTCTAGTGCTTCCTTACGGCTTCGCGCCGTCCAGATTTCATGTTGAGAGTGACGGGTGAGGGGACAGGAACCAGCTCTCTCTCTTCGCAGCCGGTCACTGAGGCAGGGGGCTCTGGGGCAGGGAACAGCGACCACAAGCGGCTCAGATGAGACGGGTTTGTTTTCACGCGCAAGAAGAATCGCAGAGGCTGGGCGTCCCGGGCTGGACGAATGTGGGTTGGCTTCTCTGTGATGTTCTTGGCTTTCCCGTCCTGATCGACAGGCGACTGTTCTACCCGTCCTCTCCCACGGCCCCGTCCACAGCGGGGAGGATGGAGGCATTTCATTGGCCGCAGCTTGTTCATGTGATCGCCTCCCGACCAGTAGCTGGAGAAACGGTGGGAGGACTGTGAGTGGTGTAGACTGACTGAGGTTCGTTCTGTGAGTGGTGTAGACAGACCGAGGTTCGTTTTCTGGGACACATCGCAGCCCGGGTCTTGAGCAGCGTTTTGGTCACGTGGGCCAGACAGTGAGAACGGGGTGATGGCGCATCCAGGGTGGCAGCTCCCGGGGCTGGCGCAGCTGCCCGAGATCGTCCAGGCACCTTTCCTGGGGTGACAGCTCTCGTCCCTGCCGATGGGCGGTTGCAGCCTGGTCATCTCTTACGTTTCTCTGCGAATGCAGGTGTATTTCTGGACTTGGTCTTCTGTTCAGAAATTAGTGTGTTTACTCGTGTAGCGGCCGCATTTTAAAAAGCCACTCTGGTTTTCAGTGTATTCTGTACTACTTAGAAAGGCTTGTGTCTTCCTGTTACTCATCTGAGGATTTTCTTGGCTGTTTTTGTTTGTTTTTCCTGTGAACTGCAGACAATAGTCCTGTTAGGTTTTTTTTCTTTAATTGGGGTTTTACACATTCCTGGATGAATTAGGAGGAGCAGGGTGATTTATATCTTCATGGATGGCCCTGTTCGTGGGGAGGGGGTGTGTGTGGTTTGCATTTTATGCATTTTGTGTATTCAGGTGTTTCTTTGTGTCAGGTAGGGATGTTTTAAATGATAAAAAGAAGCACACTTTGGGCCGAATATGGGAATTATTTACCTTTCCACTTATTGGCAGCCTGTTTGGTTGAAAGAGTGAATCTTTCACTCATTACCAGCTGATGTGTCAGCTGCTACCTGATAGTTCTGTGAACCAAGGAGGAAAAATGAGATAACAGTGACCTTGGCCCAGGGAATTAGCTTCAAGATGGATACTTTGCTCTTTGGAAATACTTAGAAAATTATTAGCTGATATTAAATCTTCTCCCACAAGAGTATGAGTTTTTTAACACTTGATATTTTAAATGCACTTATGAATGTTCAGTTTGTCAAACTTTAGAAATTTACGTTTACTAAAAACATCTTTTGCATTTTTACCCTATACCTCATAGTAATCATTTCATTTTTTTATTTTATATTGAGAGTAACAGTGTCCTAACCAGTAAGCCACTTTAATTTGAAAACTCTGGTCTTACTAATCACTAATGATTTTTCAATGCTTTCTTTTTCCTGTTGTTGTTGTGTTGTATCTTTTTGCTGTTTGTTTATTCCTTTAACATCTTGTTAAGTCTTCATGCTTAAGTTACCTTACTGTAATTTTGGACGCCATTAGGTTTTGCTTCTCCAAGTTTTTTAATTCACAAATAGTACGTTCCATTTTCTCTTGATTTTTTCTTCTTCTTTTTTTTTTGTTAAATCTTACTTTAATTTGCATGTGTGCGTCTTTTGGTTTGAATGTGCTAAGTCGATCTTTTTTTGGTTCCATTATTTATGTTCCCATCCATTTAAAACAGGCCACTGTGGAATCCATCATGAGGGATAAGATGCCCCGAAAGGGAGGAAGATGGTGGTTTTCATGGAGGGGAAGAAATACCACAATCAAGGAGGTAAGCACGGGACACACAGGAATGTTGGGGCGCAGCTCAGGGAGTTTGGGGTTCGAGTGGCGGAGTTCCTCAAGCTCTCTTGTCAGAGAAATGGGCGTCAGCCGGGGCAGGGGCCCACTCTGCCGAGAGGCGGGGACGGCTTTGCAGGGTGTGCGGGAGGTGGAGGGGTGCGGTCTGGGAGGCCCGGAGGGGACCGGGCTCACCCCCGGGCTCTGTCACCTCTCAGCCCCTGTCACCTCCCGGCCCGGAGACCGAGGTCACGTCCCTCTTCCTCTGGAATGCTTCTCCGTCTCTGAATAGCAGGGATTCAACCTGATAGCTCACTTTGTTTTTGTTTTAAGTTAAATACTTTCCTCCTGCCTGTGAGGATGATCTCAGTGAGGCGTGCTTAGAGCTGCCAGCGGTTCTCGTTCGTCTGCCCACGCTGAGGGCATTTCTGTAAACGCCTGCACCCGTCTCCAGGTCTCTTGGCGCCCCGGGAGGGGGTCTCGGGGGCGGTCTCGGGGTCTTCTCTTCTGCTTGAGTCGCCCACTCCCCCCACGGCAGGCTCCCCCGCAGGACGACCCATTGTTATTTCCAGACCATGCATTCTCTGATGCCTCTGCCCGTGTATCAAGTAGCCACCCAGGAGACGTCCCCCCCACCCCGCGCCCCCCCCGCCCCCCCGTGATTGCTCCCCGACGCTGCAGACTTGTCATCTCTCACACTTACCTCACCGTGTCCCTGTGGGTCCTTCACTGGACCGCAGTCCGAAAACGGTGCCGCTGGCCGTCCGCGGGCTAGCCACTCCCTTCCTCCTCACACGCAGTCCGTCACCCGGTCCTGCCGGTTCGCCATCCTGGGCGTCGCTCCCAGCCATCTTCCGTGTCTCTCCGCCCTCTCCCCCACACGTCTGGACGGCCGTTCTCTCTCCCAGAACTGTGTCCCAGCGGGCTGGCTGTGTCCGTTCTTGTCCTCCTGCTTCATCCTCGCTGCTGGGCTGCGTTGTTCTGTGTAGGGCCCTGGTCCAGTTTGTGTGCTGCTCCCTGCTTAAACCTTTCAGTGGGTCCCCAGCGTTCTTGCGACGAAGACCAGTATCCTCACCATGGTCCCAGGCCTCGGGGATCCTCGTCCCCCCCCCCCACCCCCGTGTAGCCTCATCCTCTGCAGTTCTCCCTCCGCCCTCTGAGCTGTGGCGTCACTGGCTGAGAGTCCGTCTGCCCCAGGACCTTTGCACGGGGTGCCTTCTCTGCCCGGTGCTGGGAGGGCCCTCTCACTCCCCTTCCCTCCACCAGCTGCTGGGCCAGGCTGGCCCTCATGCATCTTGTCAGAGTTTGTACTGGCGCACGTATCGGTGTGAGTATTGGTCGGTGTCTGCTCCCTCGAGACCCCACGCTCCACGAGGGCCGAGACCGTGGGTGGCTCTCACCCCTGGGCAGTCCTGGTGTCCGTTTTGGACCCAGAGCAGGAGTCGGGAAATGTTTGTTGAGTGGTTACTTTTGGAATGTAGCATGAAGAGACCCCAGGGACACCACTTGGTGTCCAGTTGGTTATCGTCACAGTAGAAGCGCCCTGGCCGGGGTGGCTCCGTGGGGTGGGGCATCGTCCACGCGGAAAGGTTTGGTCCTGGGTCGGGGCGTGTATGGGAGGCCGCGATTGATGTCTCTCTTGCTCTCTGCCCCTCCCTCCCCATCTCTCTCTAAAAAGTAATCAGCATGTTCGCAGGTGAGGATAAGAAAAAAAAGTAAAAGAAACCCCAGTGAGCTATTTATTTATCAGTTCCAAGGGGAAAAGTCTGTTGGAAAGATTTTGTCACAGTAACATTGTTCTTTGACACTCTTCGTTAGCATACTTGAGTTTTACTGATTGTTGCATTGTTCCCAAGGAACCTAGACATGTTAGGACAAATGTATACTTCAAGAGACTTAAAGGGCCTTTCTAGTTCCCTTACTAAAGGGCAGAATGTTCTAGAATTTGGGCAGAAAGCAATGTCAAAGACCTACTTACTGCATAATATCCAGTTTCCCAGCAGTTTGGATTGAGGAGAATGCCAGGATGAAATAAGGAATCGTTATGACATTAAATATTTCTAAAAATATAAATGCATTTGTTTCAGATAGATATACGTATATTCTGAGCTAGTCTGAGAAAGCTCAGTAAATGGTGGTAGCTGAGTTGCCTATCTCAATAAATAGATTATAAATCACTGGGCGTGTTATCACATCAATTGTGAGTACACTTATAAAAAGCTAAAGAATATTTAGAAAATACTTGGTACTCATCATGTGTTAAGATGGTCACCCTGTTTATATTGCTCATTTTTTAAAAGTTAACATGGGAAACATTAATCTACCTCTGGAGCAAATGGCCACAAAGAGCGAGATTGAACTGAACGCCCTCCACCCGTCTGCACTGGCCTCCGGCGCCTTCCGGGCCCCCAGGTGGGGCTGTGGGCGCTGCCGCTGGGTTGGGTGCAGCTGCTGCACAGCACGCCCCGCAGCGGGAGGGGGTCCTCGCCCGGTTTCCAGGGGGACTAGAGGCCTAGAGGTCCCGCGACTTGGCCCCGGATCCTAAGTGAGGGGAGTGGGGCTGGCCCGATCTCCGGGCGCTCCAGAGCCAGAGCCTCTGCTAGCACAGCGGGGGAGCCGGTTCTGGGAAAAGAATGAGTACGAGAAAGAAAGACGGCGTCCAGTTTTCCCAAGCGAAACACAGGGTGAAAATGTTTTCAGGCATTTCCCTCAGCAGTTACAGGGAAACACTTTGAGAGCCCTCAGGCCCCCGAGCGGCCCCCGACGGGGCATTTGCACGGCGCTGCAGTGGCTGTGGAGTTCGGTCTGGTGCCCCAAACCCCGGTGGAAAACAGACTCACTTTTGTCACGAGTACTGATGAGCTGAACTGTGTGCTTCGGAGGAGAGGGGTGGGGGGGTGTGCTGTTGGGGAAGGCCCTCGGACCCTGCTGGGCCTGGGGAGCCCAGGGTGGACCCCCGGCCGGCACGCCCCTGACTCTTTCTCTGCTCCTCCAGGAAAGCAAGCCGGAGCAGAGCCTGGCTGGCAAGAGCCACAGCACCGGGGAGCAGCCGCCGCAGCTCGGCATGGCCACCAGGTACAGTGCGAGCCGTCGTCCCGGCGCGTGGCAGCTCCTTCCCGTGTCCAGGGTCATGGCGCGGGCCCGGTGGACGCTGATCGCGTGGTGTTCACCAGACCCCACGGCCTTGGACCCAGGTGGAGGGGGTAGGGGGCAGCCCTGGGGCCCAGCCCTGCCTCTGCCGTTTGTTCAGTGGCCGGGGGCAGTTGGCTTAAGTTGGTTTCCCACTCATCAGATAGAGACAGGCTCTGCCTGAGAGATCTAACGTCCAAGTGAAAGAGGGGCTTAAAAATGATACAGTGTAACCAGAGTACTTCTCACGGTCGTGGCCCGAGACAGCCTCGGGGTACAGGAGGCAGGAGTAGTGATGGTGATGATGATGATGGTGATGATGATGATGGTGGTGATGATGATGATGATGATGGTGATGATGAGGAACAGCGGCCTTTCCAGTGACAGAGACATAGGTTTCCCTCCTGAAGAAACTTGCCTTTCTCTGTAGTTCAAACACTTACCAGGACTTAAGTTGCTACTTTAATTTCTTTTTTTAAAATTTTATTTATTTATTTTTCTAGAGAGGGAAGGGAGGGAGAAAGAGAGAGAGAGAAAGATCAATGTGCGGTTGCTGGGGTCCGTGGCCTGCAACCCAGGCATGTGCCCTGACTGGGAATCGAACCTGCGACACTTTGGTTCGCAGCCCGAGCTCAATCCACTGAGCTACGCCAGCCAGGGCTAAGTTGCTACTTTTCTGGTGATTGATAGGGATGCGTATGAACTTGGTGCAGGAGACACCAGACCAGACAGCGCTGATCAACATGGGCAGTGTTGTTGTTTCGTCTTCAGGCTGATCTGTTTGGGGTTCAGGGTTCGGGGTGACTCCACCCTGGGGGCAGCGCTGTCACCCACTGATGGGGACGCTGAGGCTGCAAACGGACACCGAGTGAGCGAGTAGCACACCTTCCGCGCACGCCCTGCCGTAGGGAGTTCCTGTGCCTGAGACACGTGGGGTTGCGCTCCGCCCCCGGCAGACAGGAACGTCGGCACACTGGCCGAAGGCGGGGTGCGGATCTCAGTCATCCGTGCCCCGTGGAGGCCAGGCCAGCGGTGCTGCTGGGCGGCCCCTGGGCCGATGGGGTCTCCCCGACTTGCCGATCTGCAGCGGAGGGGGGCTTGGAGGTCACGCCCGCAGACCCCTTCCCCGCCCCGGCTTCCCCTTCGCTGCTGTCTTCCTGGGATTCGCCGTTGGAGACAGCAGCCCGGGTGGGCGGCGAGTGGGAAGCAGCCAGCGTTCCCTCTCCCTCTCCGTGGGGAAGAGCGTGCGGGACCCGCTGAAACTGGTTTTGGAGGTGGCTCTTAAGTGGCCCAGCCGGCTCCCGGCAGGGACGTTACTGGGGACGTGCTTTCGGTGCTCCCTGGCGGCGCCCCGGCCCTGCGTGTCCCAGCCGAGCCCGTGTGGGTCCATGTGGCCGAGGGGGCGGGGCTGGCAGACTTGTCGTCGTCACCCCCTGGACGCCCCCACCCTGGGCGCCTCCTCTGGGAGGGCTGCCCAGCGTGGTTGGCCCCTTGGCTCCGTCCCCGGCAGGAGCTCTGAGTATGGCTTCGGGAGTGTGGGGAGGGAGACGGCAGGCGTGCTGGGGGTGGACACGGGCTAAGCCCGCCCCGTCCCTTGGAGGGGCCGTAAGCTCGAGGCAGAGCGGCCCCAGGCTCCAGCCTGTGTGTGCGCTCCTGTGAGAGGGAAGCCGCGGCTGCCGGCCGCGGACCCGGGGGCCACGCAGGTCTGCCGGGGTCCTGGCTGCGGGCAGACCCCTCACCGCGTGTCGGCAGAGGGACGACGCAGGGCCTGGAGCGGCCAGAGGGAGGCTGCCCTGGGGTGGGGGCGCCACGAGGGACTGCGTGGGCCGAGACGCGGCGGCGGGCCCGTGGGAAGCGGTTCACACCAGCTCTGGCTGCACTCGGAGGGTCCGTCTCCTGGGATTCTTCGTAGGAACCCTCCCCGCCCTGGCAGCAGGTTCCGAGCAGGAGCGCGGAACGAGCGGGGACTCTCGGCCTCCTGCCTGTGACCTCGTCTCACGCGCGCCGAGATGACCTCCTCAGTCCCTGGTGTCGCCTCCTTCACCTGTGAAACGGGCACAAGAGTGACCCCCGCTGCAGGTGTCAGCGCACTGAGTCCCCACAGCAGCCTCACTCGAGGAAGGAGGCCTGGGCCGCAGACCCGGCCGGGCCACGGGGGGGTGCCCGCGGTGGCCGAGTGACCTGGGGACACGTGCCCGTCCCGACCTCGCAGTTTGGGATGTTTTAAAACTCCCTCCAGGATGGGTCCCAACGCGGCGTCTGCCATGTTCACCCGCAGCCCGCCAGTCCAGGCCTCGGGGAAGACAGGCCGCGGCTCCAGGAGGGTTAACAGGGACGGGACCGGTCAGCGTGGGAGCAGGGCCCGCAGGCAGAGGACCTGCATGCCTCCCTTTATTCTTCCCGCTCCCCGCCCCCCCCCCCGAGGCGGGGAGGCCTGGGTTGCAGCAGCGGGACACCCCGCAGCGCTGCCCGGTGTGCCGCTCCGCCGGCGCCATGTGGGCGCGGTGCACCTGAAGCCTTTGGACTTGCCCACTAGCTGGTGCGACCTCCTGCGCTTCCCCCGGTTAAACAGTCCGGCGGCCCCCAGTTCGGAAGGGAGCAGGCCCCGCCTCTTCCTTACACCCCACAGGCGGAGAACGACTCTCGTGAAAAGGAATCGAGATTGTGAGAAGTCATGAAAGTTCTTTCATGGAAATGTAAATCTTTCAATTTTTTACTGGCATCTTAGACGTTTAGTCTCCTAATTAGACTCCTGCAGCTGACTGAAAAAAGAAAAAAAGCTGTAGGAGTGTTTTCCTAATTGACAGACTTGATTGACAGAACAGCCCCGAAGCCTCGCCGTTGAGCAAACCGCTTGTCACCGTGCAGGTCATTAGAATGCCATCTGAGGGACGCTCGCTGTGACGAGTGCTGCCTCGGCTGCTGTTCCCGGCTGCGGACGCGCCCCGTGGCTGGGCCTGGCCGCTCCCTGCAGGTGCAGGGGAGTGTGCAGTGCGACCTGAGCTGCTGGGCGGGGTGGGGCGGGGGGGCTGGGCGGGAGCCACGTTGTCCCACGTGGGGTGGCAGGTCCACCACAGGTGGCCGTGAGCTTGCCCTCGGCTGCACCTACCCCAGCCCCCTGCGCCGCTTCCCTTTCATTCCCTGTGTCCGTGGCCCCTCAAGTGTGGCGGGCTGCCCGCCTTGGGGTCTTCTTCAGAGCAGCAGAAGGGAACAGCAGCGACTCCGCTTTGCTTCCTTATGGGCCCCGCGGAGGCAGATGCCGGCCTGCTGTCCCTGAGCGCGCTGGCGCACGGCTGGGTCTCCTCCCCCCGCAGACTGTCTGGCTGGGGCGGGGACATTGCCTGACTCGACGCCTCGGCCGCGTCGTCTGCCGCTCCTGGCCAAGCGCTCGTGGGTCCCGCGGGGCCTGTCTGGACCCCTCTGGGCTGTGGGTTCAGGAGGACCTGCATTGCTCACGGGCTTTGCAGGAGGGGACTCTTGTGGGAACGTGTCATTTTGCGGGCGAGCCCCTGAGGCCTGGGGAAGAGTTCTCGACTGATTACTGATGTGCTGTGTGTGGGCTCTGTAAGGAAGAGGAACCCGCTTCCCCCCTGCACCTCCCCACCCCCACCCACTAGGAGAGCCTGGAAGGCCCTCGCCCCTCGGCTTCTGGGCGGGGGACCGGGAGCTCTGGGGCGGGCCTGGCGAGTCTTCCCTGTCCTCCTCGGTGCCCCTTAGTCTGCCCCAGAGTGCCCTCATCGTCGGCGGCTGTGGGTCTGGAGAGGCAGATGCGGGGACCTGACTGGTTGGAAGTGCAGAGATTGGGACTCCTTGTGCCGAGGAGGGGAGGAGAGGAGAGGGGGCCAGGGAGGGGAGAGACAGTGAGTGTGCTCACAGGCGAGGCGGGGGCCCGGCCCTGCGGACCAGGCAGAGGAGACCCCCCCCCCCACCCGGTGTTTGACGGTGCAGGTGTCTGACGGTGCAGGTGTCTGTCTGATGGTGCAGGTGCCTGACGGTGCAGGTGTCTGATGGTGCAGGTGCCTGACGGTGCAGGTGCCTGATGGTGCAGGTGTCTGACGGTGCGGGTGTCTGACGGTGCGGGTGTCTGACGGTGCGGGTGTCTGACGGTGCAGGTGTCTGACGGTGCGGGTGTCTGACGGTGCGGGTGCCTGATGGTGCAGGTGTCTGACGGTGCAGGTGCCTGACGGTGCAGGTGTCTGACGGTGCGGTGGTCGCTAGTGAACCGGGAGGCCACGGAGGAGAGGCGGCCCCAGCCGAGGGACGCGGGAGCGTGTGCACGGGAGCCGAGTGGGGCCCCTGGTAAACGTGCGCGCGGCACACGGGGAATGACGGCCCGAGGCTCCGTGCTCAGGAGACCGGTTCCGGCCCGATGCGTTGTTGGTGGCCGCCCGGACGCACTTCCTGACCGGCGGCCACGTCGCTGTGGGTTCTAGAATGAAGCACGAGTCGTCCTCCAGTGATGAGGAGCGCGCGGCCGCCAGGCCCTCCAGCGCCGGCCACCTCCCGCTGCTGTCCGGCGTCGGCTACAAGAAGACCCTCCGGCTCACGTCGGAGCAGCTGGTGAGTAGAGTCTGGGCCTCCTCCTCCGGCCTGCCTGTGGGTGCCTGTCCAGGCGGCTCCTTGGTTCCGCTTCCCCTCTGCCTTCTGTGCCGCAGCAGCCCTGGGGGCCCCCGTTTTCTCGGGCAGAGGGAGGCAGCCCGGTGCAGCTGACCTACCCCGAGCGTGACTGGCCGACAGACCGAGCTCGGGCGTTCCCGCTTGTGCCTGGGTGCACGGCCGCTTCAGTCAGTTCCTTCCTTCCGTGGACCCCGTGTCCGGGAGCGGCCATGAGCAGGCGTCCCAGGCTTAGTGTGGGGGGGGGGTGCAGGGGGTGTGTTCAGTGGGGAATGACAGCCGGCAGGCGCCGACACCCACGCCGCCCCACGAGCGCGACCCTGCAGCTCCCGAGCAGCTGCACGGCGGCGGGCGGCTCCGGCCCGCGACCTGGGGGCGCCCCGGAGTCCGGTGGCCCCTGTGCGGGTGGTTTCCTGGGCCTGGACCTCCTGCTTTCGGACCCAGGCGGGGCCTGGTGGCAGGCTGCTTGCCCCCAGTCGGCGCCAGTGTGAACACTGTGGAAAACGTGGTTCCCTAGGGAAGCATGGGCCCACGCTGTGCTTCCGTGGTCCCACCCCGGGAGGGGCCCTGCACGTTGGGCTGTGGAGTAGGGAGGTGGCCTGTTCTGGAACTGTGGTTCCTTTTGTCGAGCCTGGTGGCCTGGGCGTTAACCCCATCTGGAACTACGAGGTTGGCGTCCTCCCTGGGGGGGTGGCATCCTCCCTGGGGGTGGGAGACCTTGTGTGTGAGGCGTGTGAGCTGCGTTGGGAGTGGGTCTGAGGGGAGAGTCGGGGTTCAGGTCGCCCGGGTCCTGGAGGGAGCCCTCCAGCCTGGAGCAAGACGGGGAAGATGGGACTGCTCCGTGGCCGGGGGCGGTGATTCCAGAAGACCCTGACCCCACTTGTCCTGGAGCGGGAGGCACGCGCCCCCGGCCCGGGCCGCCCCCTCAAGAGGGCGCGTGCCCTGTCGTGTTTTCCAGAAAAGCCTGAAGCTGAAGAACGGCCCCAACGACGTGGTGTTCAGCGTCACCACGCAGTACCAGGGCACCTGCCGCTGCGAGGGCACCATCTACCTGTGGAACTGGGACGACAAAGTCATCATCTCTGACATCGACGGGACAATCACCAGGTGGGTCCGCCGCCTCGGGCCGGCGCGCTGACCTTCATCGCGGCCCCTGGGCCTGGGGCCGGCGCCTCGGGGCCCTTCCTGTGGCGCTGGGGGCCGTGCCGTCCAGCCTCTGGGCTTGCGGAGCCTTTGCTGCCCAGCCCAGCAGCTGCCCCAGGGGGCTTGCCGGCCGGTGGTTCCTGCCGGCTCCTCCTGTCGTGCACGGGGACGCCTCTGCAGGGGCGTCGTGCGTGACGGGCCGCTCAGGGACATGGCACGCACGAGTGAACGTAGCCCCCTCCCCCGGGCCTTCTCACGTGACCGCTTCAGTTTCTGTCGTCCGGGAAGCAAGTGGCAGGGTCCTTTGGCAGTTTTCATGGGGCATTTGTGGTGCCATGAATCGGAACCCACGAGTTTTCCCCTTCTGCGATGCCCTCTTTATGTTGTTGTTTTCCTCTTTTCTGCCCTCCTCTAGGTCGGATACTCTCGGCCACATTCTGCCCACCCTCGGCAAGGACTGGACCCACCAGGGCATCGCCAAGCTGTACCATAAAGTGAGCCAGTGAGTACAGAGCGCGAGCCTGCCCCACCCCGCGCACCGCCACCGGGCCGCGGGGGCGGCTCCCCGCTCGGCCGGGGGCGTCGGCAGCGTGGCGGTGGGGAACCCCGAGTTCAGTGCCGAGAGATGAGAGAGGAAGTGGCTGGTGAACCTAAGCTGATGGAGAGGGAAGAAGGTGGCAGCTTTGGGGGAGGGACCGGGGCTCAGGTCATGCCGGGGAGTGTCGGGGACAGGCGGGTGAGGGATCCTGGTCTGACATCTGCCCGGAGAGAGTGTCCCGCCCCCAGGGTGCAGGCTCCCAGCCGGGCGTAGCCGTGGCCGGGGGAGCGCTTCGCTGAGTGGCCGGAACATAGGCCGCACCTGCCGTGGGGCCCCCGCCTGGAGGTCTGGGGTCCGGGGGGGGGCGGGTAGCTCTGAGACTGTCGGTTGGGCACATGTGTCTCTCCACTCCCGGCCTGGGGTGATTCTGACAAGTGAGATCACTTCTGTGTTCAGACGAGTGAGACACACTCAGAGTCACAGCGGTCTATCCGAGCTCCCGTCGCTGCTGACAGGCGGAGCTCGGCCCAGCCCTGTCTGCGCAGCTCCAGGGCCCCCGAGTCCGCTCTCCTCGGTCCCCAGGGCTCTGAGCCCCTCGGGGACCCCCACCCCTTCCTGGCATCCTGTTCTCCAGCCAGTCAGGGCTGGGAGGTGCCTGCGGCTGACTCGGGACCAGCCCTCCGCCGCTCCATGGGGGGAGGGGGAGGGGAGTGTCAGGACGGCACCCAGGCCCGTGGCTCGGTGAAACGACCACCGGCCTGCAGTGACCTCGGAACGCTGCGGATGGCTCGTCAAAACACGAGAAAAACATACACAGAGACAGCCAGGTCCTGTGGGGAGATAGGGACGGAACAGCCACTCTCTCTAGTGGGGAGCACCTCGGCTACCCTCCCCAGGGGAGAACGCCCCATTCTCCCACCCGAGCAGGCTTTTACTGGGTTCATTTACACAGGAATTCAGGTAGAGCTCATTAATCACTGCCAGGAAGTAAGGATCAGACAAATAGATAACAAGGAACTCTGAGGGCCTATTCTGAGTCAGGGTCAGATAGCTAAAGAGCAGTAAAACTTTGAGGCACAAACTTACTTCTTGTTTGGACCCTAATCAGTTAATTGAGAGCATTCTGAACAAAGCAGGTTTCACAGGAGTTTACAAATTCTTTCTCAGCCTGATCACCCAGGGAACCCGCCCTTTCCAGCACAGGGCTGCACCCACCTCCATCATTGTTTCAGGCTTAGGTGGAGCAAGGGCAGTAAGGCAGCCAAGAGATAAGGATATTTTCTTGCAGACAGTGAGGACTCAGGCTGTGTCAAAGCCGAGGGGTGAGGGTCCATCACCCCCTTTTTTGCTGTAGCCCCCAAAGTCCTTCCTTGGGGGTCTGCCTGTGATCGTGCCTGTCTTAGGTTGCCCCCTCCCCCCGGCCCCGGGAATCTTACCCGTCATTGGCTAACCGACCAAGCATTGGGGGCCAGGCAGGATGAAGTAAAAGGAGCAGAAGCGGCGCTCCTGCCAGGGAGATAAGCTTTTGTCTCCCTGCTGGCTTATGGTCCAAGGTCGCTCCCTCAGCCTTAGCCTTGGCGGGGGTTACAGCTTCCGATACCAGGCAGGGCGGTTCCCAACATCTCGGAGCCTGACAGGCTCACCGGTGGCCCCCGTCTGGGGCGAGGGGCCTGGGGGGTGGGCCCCCGGCGCTGTTTCCAGCCCCCCGAGAGCACAGGGGGTGAAGTGCGTGCTTTCTGCTCCGCCCCCATTCATTCGCCCAGCGCCCGCCGAGTGCCCGCCGAGTGCCTGGCCCTGTGACAGGCGTGCGTGGGGTGACAGCGACGCAGGCACAGTCGCCGGCGTCCTGGACCTGGTGCTCCGGTGTGGGGGGGTCGTTGCCTGGGAGGGGACCTTCTGTTCTGGTGGAATCAGAGACTTCCGGTTTCTTAGACGCCCAGGTCACTAGTTTGACCTTTCTTTTCCAGGTCTTTTCTATAAAAAATTACCTAAGTAATCACATGATTCTTTCAAATAGAGAGAAATAAGGAGAACTAGAGAAATTTAGAAGTATGTAGAGGTGTCTTCTTCCTCTGTGTTCGTGTGCTGAGCTAATCACCTCGCTACGAGCACCGTGAACAGTTACGTGATGCACCCTTATGCTGCGTCACGTCAGGTTTACTTCTTTTTTAAAAAAAGATTTCATTTATTTACTTTTAGAGACAGGGGAAGGGAGGGAGAAAGAGAGGGAGAGAAAGAGAAACATCAGTGTGTGGTTACCTCTTGTGTGCCCCCTACTGGGGACCTGGCCCGCAACCCAGGCATGTGCCCTGACTGGGAATTGAACCGGCGACCTTTTGGTTTGCGGGCTGGCACTCACTCCACTGAGCCGCACCAGCCAGGGCAGGTTTACCTCTTCTTAACCACCGCACACAATTCCGTAATATGGAGAAGGCACGTTGCATCTAGTGCTCTGTTGACGAACTTGGTGGGCAGCCTTCATGTTTTCACTGCTGCCAGCAGAGGCAGAAGCGCTTACGCCCCGTCTGCTGTGTGTAACAAGCGTATGAATAACGAGAGAAGGCGCACTCACTGGGGCAGGCTGCCGTAAGGTGGGCTCCGCCAGGGGGATTGCTGGTCAGAGGCGGGGCGCGGGCAGAGGGCCGATCTGGTCCTCGTCCCCACGCTGCCCCCTGCAGGGTCCCCGCCTGTGCACTCCCAGCCCTGTGCCCGCCCAGCCCTCTCCCCACAGCCCCCTCGCCATGGGCAGATCTGTTTTTAGAAGGGTTAAGTGGCGGCTTTTCAGTGACTTGCACGGCACTGACAATCGCGTCTATTTTGGGTTGAAAGAAACCGTCTTGGGTCAGGCCTCTGAGTAATTCTCAGTTGACAGCCTGACTCATTGTGGCTTTTGGAGCACCGATCTGTTCCTGTCTTCGCTGAGACGTTAAAAAAATGCAGTTACATTTTTGGGGGGAAGGGGCTGTCTTGATTTGTGTCTATTTAGATTTTCCCAGAAAAGATATCTTCTTGAAAAAATAAAGTTGTGCAGTTTACCAAAACACATGCAAGCCTTCTCTATCGACCCATGTAGAGTGAGTGAGCCATGTAGCGTGAGTGAGCCGTGGAGGTGAGTGAGCCGTGTGGTGTGAGTGAGCCATGTAGCATGAGCGAGTCGTGTAGCGCGAGTGAGCCATGTAGCGTGAGCGAGCCGTGGAGGTGAGTGAGCCGTGGAGGTGAGTGAGCCGTGTAGCGTGAGTGAGCCGTGTAATGTGAGTGAGCTGTGTAGTGTGAGTGAGCCGTGTAGTGTGAATGAGCCGTGTAGCGTGAGTGAGCCGTGGAGGTGAGGCTCTGGAACAGTCTGGAGCCTCCTTGCATTTCCGTTAGGGCCGGGAGACGGGGACTCGCACTCCCCCGAGCGTGGAGTCCGCTGTGCTTCCCGAGGCACCCAGACACGGGGGCCAGTGAGGTGCGTGGCCCCAGAGCAGCCCCCCCCCGCCCGCCTGCTGCTGGGCCATGGCCCGCGGGGGCTCGGGGCACCCGGGCGTGGGTGGGAGCCTCTGGTGTTCCCGACGGCTTCCGTGCGGCGAAGGCCCTGGGCAGCCAGCCCCTGCTGCCACCTACGAGCAGGGGGTGCTCTCCTTCCTCGAGCCGCTTTCCCAGCTGAGTTTAGGGACTACCCCCGACCCCCGACCCCCGGAGCCCGGAGCCGGGACAGCTGGGTGGTGATAACAGCCACCAGGAAGTGCGTTTGAAAATCGAGTTTTGAATCAAATTAGCATCTCAGAGCCCTCCCTGCAGGTGACAGCTTCCGACTTGGTGTGAAGAGCTGGAGACAGAAATAGTGATTTTTTTTTAAAAGATTGCATTGATTAGACAGCTCAATTACAAAGATGTTTAATTAGAAAGACTGCTTGATGTTCAGATGCATCCCTGTAGTCCACACACGCTGATGTTTCTAGATTCTCTTTAGTCTTAAAAACGTTCCTGTGTTTCTTTTAAAGGACTCGCTACCCACGGCCAGCGTGTGGTGTCCGTGGGGGAGCAGGGAGTCGATGGGAAGTGGGGAGATGGCACGTGCTCCTCCAGCAGATATTTCCGAGTGTCTGCTGTGTGCCAGGCACTGCTCCGGGCACGGGGGTTCCAGCCCGGAGTGAGACCCAGTCCCCACCCTCAGGGAGTGTGTGGATGAAGGAGACAGCAGACAGGGGACTGCAATGTCCTGTCAGTGACAGGTGACAGGGGGACAGACAGGGCCAGCATTAGTGCCTGGGGTGAGGGCCAGGGCAGGTAGTGTTATTAGGCAGAGGTAGCAGAGAAGGGCCCTCCCAGGGGGTGGCGATTGAGCAGAGTCCTGAGGGTCTGGCGCTGGAGCAAGCGCAGCGAGGGGGAGGGGCGGCGAGAACCCGCCCCTGTGTGCTGCGCCAGGAGCAGGTGGGGTTGGAGGGCAGGGGCCAGGGCTCGCTGGCTTTGGAGGTCATGGCGAGGAGCTGAGCTCTGGCTAGGAGAGGGGCAAGGTGTGGGGGGGCTGTGAGCACGACCGGGTTCAGTGTTGAGTTTTCCGTTTTCTTTCCGTGTGGAGACCTGTTGGGGGCAGGGGGATGTTCAGGCTGCGGCAGGAGTGCGGGTGGGGTTCCGCCCAGGGCTGCCCCCACTCGAGATGCCCGGGCGAGGAGCTGGTCCCCAGATCACTCACAGTCTACCCAGCTTGGCTACAAACCAGGGGTCCCCCCCCTTCTCAGATTCGGTAATTTGCGACGATGGCCCAGAACCTAGGGAAACATACTTACTGGTTTATTACCAAGGATGCAAATGGACAGCCAGGTGGAGCACGTAGGGTGAGGCCCAGAAGGGAACCCCCCCCCGCCCCCCCGCAATGGAGTTGGGCTGTGCCGCCTTCTCAGCACGTGGACACGTTCCCAAAACGGAAGCCGTCTGAGCGCCGTTGGTCGGGGTTGCCGGAGGCTTGGGTGCTTGGGCTTGACCGAATCCTGGGACATCGGCGTCCTCGGAGCTCTAACTGCCGGTTCGTTCCTCCGGCAACCGGCCCCCGCCTGCATGCGTCGCCTCACGAGCAGACACAGGGGCGTGCGTGGAGGGGGCAGCCCAGGAACGGTGCAGGGTGCTCCTCTCACTCCTGTCGCCGGGGGAGCTCCGAGGGTTTTGGAGGCTCTGTGCCCGGAACCCGGGACGCAGACCGACTGGGCGTCCGTCATATCACAGCGTCACTAACGTTGGCCGCTGTCCCCGTCGGGGTGTGGCATTTAGAGCCCCGGATGGATGGGGGTGAGGAGAAATGGGGCTCGAGGACCCCAGAGCTCCTGTGCCTTCAGAGGCCGGGACGCTGGGCGCCACGGCGACTTGTCTGGGGAGAAGCAGCCGGCGAGGAGGCAGGCCCCGGGGTGGGGGTGGGGGTGGCATCTGTAATCAGGTTTTGTGGAATGTGGCCTTGAGGGGACCGGCCACCACGCCATGTTCTCGGGGCAGATGCGGGTCAGGGCTTGTGAGGGCGCCGGAGTCCCCCACCGTGTGACGCCGCTGAGGGTGCGCCTTTGTCTCTTCCAGGAACGGGTACAAGTTCCTCTACTGCTCTGCGCGGGCCATCGGGATGGCGGACATGACGAGGGGCTACCTGCACTGGGTCAACGAGAGGGGCACGGTGCTGCCGCAGGGGCCTCTGCTGCTGAGCCCCAGCAGCCTGTTCTCCGCCTTGCACAGGTAGGCCCCGCCCGCCTGCCCGCCCCGCACTGCCCGGTCTGCTCTGCCCTGCGCGGGCCCTGTCTCCCTCCCCGGGGGCGGTGCCGGAACGGCCGGCCTCTGCTCGGTCTTCCCGACCCAGCTCCCGTCTCCAAGGTGGGCGCTGGGAAAGTCACCCTGAAGAGCAGGCTGGCCCTGCCCGCCGCCTCCTCCCAGTCCCGTTTCCCCCCAGTTTCTAGAGCTTCTCCCCAGTTTCCAGAGCTCGGTGGTGCCGAGCCCGCTCCGCTTTCCATGGTGATGTTCTCGCCCTTGGCCACGTGCTGCACCCCTTTTGTGGTGGCCGCCCCTCCTGCTCCCGCGCCCCGTCCCCGCCCCGTGTTGTCAGACTCCCGTGGGGTCTGGGAGAGTCAACGTGCAGTCCGTCCAGTCGGGGACCTGGGTCGGGTTCAGTGGCCCTCGTACCAGATGCCACCGCTCACCGGGCCTTGGACCCCATCATACTCGTCCTCGCAGGGAGTTCTGGTCGCTGTTTATTGTAACGGCGTCCAACAGACCACTGGCCTGGTTCTCACCACCCTCCTCCCTCGGCCCTCTTGGCCCCCTTCTGATCAGGGCGGCCCAGTCGGACTCTGGCCTGCGGGGTGGGGGAGGGGAGCGCTGGCCCCCTCTGTGCAGCCCGAGGCCCCGGGCAGCTCCCAGACGCTCTCACAGCATAACCTGCTGTGGCCGTAACGGGACCCTGGTCCTGCCAGGGGCTGCAGTGCGTACCCTGCGGTTGTGTCCCGAACGTCCGATGAGAAGCTTTGTCATGATTTTGCCTCAATTGGGCACCAGGTGGGCCACCTGCGGCTCTGGCCGTGCCGGTGGTGGAGAGCCCAGACAGGCCCGGCGCCCTCTGGGCTGTCTCCCTTCAGCTCGCCGGCGGCGTCTCCAGCGCGGCCCTGTGCCGTGCGAGCAGCAGCTCCTCGTCCTGCTGCAGGAAGAGATGCTGCACGGAAACTGGCCCGCACTGGGGAGAAGGTGCAGGCAACACCTGCGGGTGCCGCAGTGCACTCCAAGTCCCGCCGGGGGTCGCGACGGAGGCCTCGGTAGAAACCCAGACGCTTTAACGAGATGGCTCGGTAATCCCGTGTTTTAACGGAGTGTCCCCGGGTCGTGGGCAGGGTTTGTGGCCCGCTGCTTGGTGGCGTGCTGAGCACCAAGGCTGTGCGAGGCAGAGTCCAGAGCTGGTGTTTCTGTTCCTGACCTCCGACCACTGCAATAACTCACGGTGACCCTCTCCAGTGTTTCCTTAGTTAAATGTTCTCGTCCCAGAGGTGCCCCTGTGTCCTCGTGGGGAAGTATTAGAAAGAGAAGCCGGACCCTCACAGCTGTGCTCCCTCCCGGGAGCTGGGGGCAGTCGGGGGGGCGTGTCCTAAGGCCCCCAGAGGGGGCCGAGCTGCGGGGCTGAGCTGCGGGGCGGCCTCAGGTGTCCCAGAACTGGTGGGAGGTCTGCTTATGTGAGCCCACAACCTGCCCTAGCGAGACTCTGGAGTCGGGTGCCGTTGTGACCGTGCTGTCCGGGTGTACACTGGGGGGTGCACATGGCACAGTTGGCAGCAGTAAGCTCTTGGCATGGGGTGTGCGGGGTCTGGAGTGGGGACCGGAGCCCCACCCTCGGACGCTGCTGGGCGACTAATGAGGGGTGGTGCCCCTCTGCTGGGCCAGTGTCCCCAGCTGCCAGGTGACAGGGCGGGGCCAGAGGATCTGCAGCGTCCCTCTGAGCTCCGAAATGCTGCCAGTCTAGGACACAGAAGGCTGGCCCAAAGGTTCGTGTGATTTTTTTTTCCCACAAAACAGAAGACACGTTTTTCATCTTCACCAGTAACTACTGATTTGTACGTTTTGAGTACGTCGGCTCTCTCCCGAGTGGTGTAACGTCGATTGCTCTCAGTTAATGTGTGGATTTGATCTCCCTCAACTCCAGCTGGTCTGCCTGACCGTGGGGCGTCATCCAACGAGCCATCCCCATGAGCACGAAACTGCGCAGACGACGTTTACCACGTTCGGTCGGTTGCAGCACCGTCTCCGTCCACTGCACGGGTCTTTCTTTGCATTTCGGTTGCGTGTCTGCCTTCTTGAAATGATAAAGCATCCTATTCTGAAAGGGTCGCTTAAGTTTTGATAAGTTTTTAAAAGTTTTTAAAGATTTTATTTATTCATTCTTAGAGAGGGAAGGGAGGGAGAAAGAGAGAGAGAAACATCAGTGTGTGGTTGCTGGGGGCCGTGGCCTGCCACCCAGGCATGTGCTCTGACTGGGAATCGAACCTGCGATGCTTTGGTTCGCAGCCCGGGCTCTATCCACTGAGCTACGGCAGCCAGGGCGCTTTTAAGTCATTTTGAAGCTTTGCGCTGATGTTCACAAATGAGACCGGCTCCCACGCTGCACACACTCCGTTTCCTTAGGGGTGGTTTCCGAGGCTGCACCGGCCTCAGAAGACAGGGTGGGAGACGTTTTCTTCTCCCCTGTGCCCTGGGGTCCTTGTTCCGCAGCTGACCGGGAGACCCAGTGCCCTCAGCCTTTCCGTCGTGGGGGATTTGGAAGGAGGGAGCGAGTCCCTTCCCGTCCAGCACGTTCCTGGGACGGCAGAGCGGACTGACGCACCGCCAGCCCCTGAAGATACGAGGGCTGTTCCGGCCATGGTGTCCTTGACGGTTCAGAATGGCTCGATGGGAACGAAGTTTGTCCTCTCATGCTACCCTGTTCTTTCTCTCTTTGTTTTGACAGGGAAGTGATCGAAAAGAAGCCAGAAAAGTTTAAAGTCCAGTGTTTGACGGACATCAAAAACCTGTTTTTCCCAAACACAGAACCCTTTTATGCGGCCTTTGGAAACCGACCTGCTGTGAGTAGCTCCGGGGTCCCCGTGTTTCCTGGCGGCTGCCCCCGCCCCGGAAGGCTGCCTGCGAGGCCGGGCTCCCCTCCAACTAGCAGGGGGGGCGCTGGTCAAAGGCCTTCGCCTGCATCCAGAGGCAAGGGACTGCAGGCTGTCTCACAGCCTCTAGTTTTCTTTGCAGTTGGGCCGTCGAGTCTCAGTTTGAGGCACGAAACGTGGGTCTGGAAACGTTCAGTTCCGAAGGACCTGCAGAGTTAGTCGAACAGGAACGCCGGCTGGGCCAGGTGCCCTCTGCCGGCCGGGGCCCGCAGGGCCGACGCCTAGCGCAGTGGTGAGGTCTGCGGTGCAGGTTTTAAGGGTGTGGTGGTCCCCCTTGCTGATCCGCGGTTTTACTTTCTGCAGTTTCAGCTGCTTGTTCTCAACCGCAATCTGGAAACATTAAGTGGAAAGGTCTAGAAATAAACAGTTCATCAGCGTTACCTCGCTCACCCTTCGGAGCAGCGTGATAAAGTCCCACGCGTCCCACTCTGCCTCCCCCCCCGCCCCCCAGGAGTCTTCCCTTGGTCCTGCGTCTTCACGCTGTACCAGGGGCGCCCAAACGTTTGGCGTCTCTGGGCCACCCCGGAAGAAGCAGCGTTGTCTTGGGCCGCACATTAGATACACTGGGACAAGTAGTCACACACACACAAAAAACCTCACAATGTTTTAAGTAAACTTACGATTTTGTGTTGGGCCTCATTCGCAGCCATCCTGGGCTGCACGTGGCTGGTGGGCTGCAGGGTGGACACCCCTGCTGGCCCCCTGCCTGTCAGGTCTGCCACCCAGTAGCCGCCTGGGCCATCGGATGGACTCGTGGCATCACGGTGCTTGTGTTTGAGTCACCCGTATTTTACTTGGTAATGCCACACTCACATAACCATTTATCACAATATAGTGTTTCAATTCTGCTTTATTATTGGTTACTATTGTTACTCTCTCACTGTGTCTAATTGATAATTAAACCCAATCAAAGGTGGTCTGCATTGTGCAGGAAAAACACAGTCCCTACAGGGTCTGGTGCCCTCCCCGGTTTCAGGCCCCACTAGGGGTCTCGGAACACGTCCTCTGTGCATAACGGGGCGGGGGTGACGGTGTTGCTCTGTACAGTACAGGAAATGCTCTGGCATTTTGTGACTTCTGCCCCAATTTGCCAGAAAGTTCGACGGTCAGGAGAACAGAGTAAGGGGATTCTCCTACTTTTGACACTCGTGCCCAAGAAGGTGGGTCGGAGGATAGCCGTAAGGAGAGGGAGGACTGCAGGGGCCATGCCGAGGGTCCCGACGTCTGGAACTCCCTTCCCGAGATGCTGAGCGTGGGGGGCCGGGGGGAGCGCCGACCCGACAGTCTCTCGCGTCCGGGGATGTGCTCCCCCTGCGCTAGCTGGGAGCGTGGGTCCGGTTCACCAGCACGCGTCCCGTGGCATCGGGTCCCAGGTGTCCTGTGTGTGTATTCACGGTGAACTCCTTTTCTCTGACCCTTCACCCCCACACAGGACGTGTATTCGTACAAGCAAGTGGGCGTGTCCCTGAACAGGATATTCACCGTGAACCCCAAAGGGGAGCTGGTGCAGGAGCACGCCAAGACCAACATCTCCTCGTGAGTGCCCCGCGCCCTACGCCCGGTGCCCCCAGCACCCCTGGCGTCTCAGTGTCGGAATGGTCCTGCACTGTGTACCGTGCACCCGTGGGTCCTTCGCTGCCTGTGGTTTAACCGTTCGTTCCCACAAGGAGAGTAGATTTTAGCTCCCATATTATGCCTGAAATTTCAGGTCTGCACAGTCTGGATTAAATCAGACCCCCTCTGGGTCTCTGGGTGGAGCGTTTAAACTGGGGTCGCACTCCGCTCCAGAGAGGATCTAATGAACTTGAAAACTAGCAGCTGTGAGTCCCCAAGTCAGGTTTCGGACCCTGGAGTGCCACACTGAGGGGCAGGCACCCGAAGCATCACGGGGCGCTGCAGTGTCGCCACCGGAAACAAGGCCAAGGGCACTGCCGTTGTGAGGACCCCTCCCGCAGTGGGGGTCCCGGCCTGTTTCCCTCGGCGGAGGGCTGTGCTGGGCGGCTGCAGGGAGGCGTCTCTCCGACTCTCACTTTGGATTCCTCACTTCCCAGAGGGGACAGCGCTTCCTCCCCCAGGGGCTGGGAGCTTTGCACACCCGGTGTCGCCAGGCGGACAGACGTGGCCGCCTCTGTCTGGCCCCGTGTGGGCAGACCCAGCTGAGAGCTGCTGCCTCGAGCACCCCAGGCGCCTGCGGGCGCCCTCCTCTGGTGGAGGGGTTGGAATGGGTGTGTTTGGGTCTTCTCCCGGCGCCTCGGGTGGGTTTAGGCAGACCGCAGATCTGGGTTCCCCGGAGCACATTGCCATCCTCATGAGCGCCCTCCCCCAGCGGGGCCTCCAGCCTGGCCTCGCAGTGGGGGGCCGACTCTGCTCAGCCCTCTCTCAGCGGTTTCCCCTCCCGAGTCCTGGGTGGCCCCCCTCCGATGACGTCAGGTCTCCACCGGGGACACCGGAGCCCCCTCTGCCCTGGCTCCCCGGCCTGTCACCTTCCCACGTGTCACAGCCCCCTGAGTCTGGGGAAGGCCGAGTAGATTGTTGTTTAGGTTCAGAGAGACTCCCAGGCTATGGGCCGCCGCCGCCCAGGGACGGCCCAGGTGTCTGCCCGGCAGCAGCCGCGGGGCAGGTGTCGATCTAAGGGGCCGGCAGAGAGGGGGGAGGCCCCCGAGGTTACCCCGTTCCCTGAGACTCGGCTTGGACGCACACTTTGCCGGGGCCTTGGCCTGGCGTGGAGCTCTGCATGGGAGAGCGAGAGAGCAGCACGCGTGGCTGAGGGACGCTGTCTTAGCCTGGGCTGGGGGTGTGGCTGTCCCCGAGAGAGAGGGGCTCCTTTCCCTGAAAGCACACTCTCCACACCTGGGGCCGAACCGGGACTACCGTTTCAAAGCCAAGTGGGGGCCTGCCCCCCCTCTGGACCTGCGACACTGGCTCTGCGGAGTCACCTGAAAGGTCTCCAAGGGTCAAGGGCCTTGCTGGGTGGGGGTCTTCAGTGCAACCCCCCCCCCCCCACTGTGCCCTGCAGGAGTCCTGTGCGGGGGAGGGGGGAGGGTGGTCCGGCCAGGCCCACCGGTGGGGCGGGGCCAGCGCTCACTCAGAGCCCCGGACAGCGGCCTGGGCTGGGGCCCCACCCCCTGGCAGTGAGTGCTGGGTGAGCTGCCCCCGCCGGGGTCGGCTGCCTCCCACAGCCGCAGACCTCAAACGAATAGGTCCTAAAGCCAGGAGGTATTATAAACGTTTGTTTTCATCCCTAGGAAAGACATAATTCTTGCTCGTTAAGGGAGATTTTTTTCTTTTCATTTTATGCAAGCACGATGTTTCTCAGAAGCCCTTTGGAGGTCCTTTATTAAATACACACACTCATTCTTATTTAATAAGCTGTTTTATGCCTTAGAGCACACTAAATCCTAGAGGCCGGGTTTTGGAAAGCCCCTTTCGGTTCCCAGCAAATTGGAGCTGCAGAGGGACCCGGCGGCTGGGAGGGGGGACCCTGGGGATGCTCAGGGGGGCCCCGGCTTGTCACGGTTCTTGGTTGGAGGCGCCCGGAGGTCTGAAAATGCATCTTCAACACGGCGACTTTCCTTCTGTAGTGCAGGCCGCAGAAGCAAACTAATGTGCAACGACTTCTTGGGAATATGCAGAAAATGGAGCGAGGGACTTGTAGGGCGCCTTGAGAAACACGGGTCTAGTTCAAGTCCATTGCCCCGGGTCCCACAGCAGTGGGGCCGGGAGCAGGTCCCAGGTCCCTCAACCCTCACACCAATGACCACTTTTCTTCTTTAAGCTGCTCATTAGCCAGGGCTGAGTCTTCCCTAATAATAATTGTTCGTTGACTGCATGTCGAGAACATGCAGTGTGCGTGATTGTATTGCTGCATACTCTGCTTAATTTAATCCTCCTGTCAACAGCGTGGGGCGCTCCCTGCCTACCCTTCATGGGGGGCAGGGGGGGGCGGTGGTTGTGGCTTAGCAGACAAAGCCGTTTTCCCAAGATCCCACAGCCAGTAAGTGTCAAGGCCAAAGTCGAATCTGTGTCTCCTGAACCCCAGGGCCTGGTGCCTCTTCCCTGCACAGACCCAGACCCACGGTGCTCCGGGGATCTGGGAGCTCCGTCCCTGCAGTGCCCACGCGTGAGGTCCGAGGCGGGTGGCCGTCCCTCTGCTGGGCTGACGTCCTCCTGTCCTCCTCTCTCCCGCTCTGCCCTCCTCCTCGGTTCTCCGCGCCACATCGGGTCTTGCCGCCTCGCTGTGGGGCCTTCTCCAACTCCTTGGCGCGCCCTTCGGTCTCCTGTTAATTGCTGAGGAATTACTCTAGGCCCCCTCTGCTGTGTTCGCCCCCTGGGTCCGCTCCTCTGGGTTGTGGCGTTCTCCTAGTTTCCAGGCTCGGGGCGGGGAGCGTGGCGGGCGTGCCCCTCCGCCGGGTGTCGCCGGGAGGCAATGACGATGTCCCTTTCCGTGCAGGTACGTGCGACTCTGTGAGGTGGTCGACCACGTTTTCCCACTGCTGAAAAGGAGCCACTCGTCTGACTTCCCCTGCTCGGACACGTTCAGCGACTTCACCTTCTGGAGAGAGCCGCCGCCCCCGTTTGAGGACCAGGACGTCCGCTCCGCCTCGGCGTGAACTCTCCGCGCGCGAGTGAGCGCCCACGTGGTGGGAGCCGGCCCACGCCCCCTCGAAGGGCGGGCTCTGGGAGCCCAGGAGCGGAGCTGGGGACCCTGGCGTGCAGTCACTTGCTGGAGAGCGGAGAGAGTCGAGACGCACGCTCCCTGCCCCGCGGCCCTGAGGGCTGACAATTCTAAGTCAACTGCTACGAAGGGTGCGCTTCACGGGCGACGACTGGGCGCCCGTGCAGTGGGAGGCGTTCCCCGGCTGCCGCTGAGAGCCGGCGCCGGCACCGCCCTCCCGGCCTGCAGCGCGTCCTCGGTTGGTGGTCCGTGTGCGGCGTGCACCCGTGACCCCGACCAGAGGTGGCCGCCGGGCCCTGCTGGGGGCAGTGTAACTGAGGAATGCCCAATGCGCACGACTGGAGTGCGGGCCACACTCCCTTGGGGCAGCTCGTACCCCTCTTCTGCACCGGGTGGGAGGGGTGTGTGGGGTCACGCCAGCCGAGTGGGGGAGGTGGGGGGCTCTGGAGGGACTGCAGGCCTCGCTGCCCTGGGCACGCCTTGCGGATGTTCCCCTGCAGTATTCGCCGACTGGTCCACGTTATAGGCGACGAGCCCTTCTTTAAATCCCTTTGGTTAACAATAACCTGCGTGACCCGCTGATCTCCCGCGCCCTGCGTGCGGCTCGAGGCTGGAGGGTTTAGGCCCTACCGCACCTGTGGCAGGCTCTGTCCGGCCCTCGGTAGCGCCGCCGCGCCTTAAGTTCAGATCTCGGAGACGTTTCCGGGGCAGCGTTTCCGCGACCCCCGCCCGGCCCGCCGCCGGCGGGCAAGGCCCCTTTCCCCCAGCAAGGGCGTGTGCCGGCCCTGGGCCCTTGACCGGAGCCGGCGCGGAGGGTCGTGAGGTCCGTTTCCGTTGGAAGCTCTCAGAAAAAACTGCTCGGATTTAAGAAGATAGTTTCAAGAAGTTAAATTACATTCTCTGTAGATGTTATTTATTACTTTCCTCTGATTGGGTTATTGCTGTAAGCACTTAGCCATATTCTTTCTCCATTAACGGCCGTCGATACACGAAGAAGACACACGCTGGACCGTCCGCAGAGCCTTAGTCTACAGACCTCACAGCCCCGGCCCTCTCCGCGATCACGCCTTCTGTCTCCCTCGGCCTGTCCCGCGCGAACCAAGGGCCGGCGGGGAAACGGTGGTCCGAGCGACATTCTTTAAGCCAGTAGGAGACGAGTCTCCGAACTTGTTCATTACATGGGCTCGCCGAGAGAGAACAGTTTGAAGAGTCAAAGAATTATTTTGGTAAAAGATTTTGCTTTATTTTTTGAAGTATTATTTTTCTAAGGAGCGTTTTCCTCCAGTGATGGAAGTGCTTTCCTCTTGAACTCGCACTGTGAGAACCGCGGGGCGGGGCACGCGCGTGGAGCGGCTGCGGGGGTGGTGCTCTTTCTGTGAAAGAGCGTAGCGTAGCGGCCTCGCTGCGGTTGGGGGTGGGGGCGCTGGGGAGCCGAGGGGCCCCGCGGAGAAGGGGGGAGGGCGGCGTGGTGGATCCTATTTGCATAGAAAGGCAAACACGCATGCGCACAGTCCTTTTTTTGGGAGGCAATGAAAATGAAGTTGTCCCGCCTGAAGTACTCTGGGCTCGCTGCACAATGGCCTTGAGCCTGCGCTCATTCTCTCTGCCGGGAGGGTGTTTTGGGGGGAGATCTCACTGCTGGGACCGCAGCACGAGCTCCGGGCTTGCGGAGGCTGCCCCGCTGCTCCGCGCTGGAGCAGCGCGGCGGTGCGCCGGGGTGGCGCTCTCTTCCTGCCAGGCGCCCTTCCTGCCGCTTGCCCCGTGCTGGCCCGGCCGCTCCAATCCACTCCCCCGGGCAGGTGTGAGCGCGCCACCCTGGCCTTGCGCACCGCGGCACCCTGCCTGCCTTCCAGAAAGTTGCACTCGCGTCTGGTTCAAGTGCAGAGTGGGACCCGCCCCCCCCCGCCCCGCCCAGTCCCAGGCAGTAACATTCACACCTGGCTTGTTGCTTTGGGAAATGAGATTTGTCCTTGAGCGACACCCCCCCCGCACGAACGCGCGTTGGTTTAATCTGTGTTTATACAACTGCGACCCAGTGGCCGCGTGGTCACGTGCTGGAATGCTGCATGTGGACGCCGCGCTTCAAAGCTGTGGAGTGACCAGTGTTCATCACCTGTGATGGAGAGCACACACGCACACCCGGTACGGCGGAGACGTGACTACACCTGCAAAGAGAATCCCCGGTTCCGGTACAGGTGTGGGTCACTCCTTTCCTGTAGTGTATGTGCGACCCCGATCTGTATGTGCGTTCGCTGGCGCAGCGATGAGCACCCTTGTAATACCGCCGTGCTCTGCCGGACGCAGAGCTGGAAGCTGCTGTAATAATAAAAGAGACCCCTGAAAGTCTTGTGGAAATCAGCTGTGTGAATTCTAAACGGTGTTTTTGGTGAATGATTAGGTTGCTGATTTTTAGTGTGTGATACCAAACATTTTATTCTCAAGGGGGAAAAAAAAAAGACTGAACTATTTAAAACTTGGAATAAAAGAGTCTCTTCCGATGCCTTTGGTAACATACCCACCTGCTGGACTTGGGAGGGTAGGAGGGGGGAAAGGGAGAGGAGAGGGCGCGCCCCGTTCCGGAGCGTCCCACCCATGGGAGTGGCTTGGGAGCAGGGAGGGTTCACCGACAGGCTGTCCCCGGAGAGCGACTCAGAGCCTGGCCCGCAAGGCAGCGTTTCCCGCGTGGCTGTTAACCTGAGTGGCTTCTGCCCAGGGTCCTTTTATGTGGTAGCCAGGCAGGTGCGGCCACAAGACCCCGGAGAGGCTCAGGAAAACCAAGTGTGTTCCCCTCACAGGCCCGAGAAATGGGGGGCGGGGCCCCCTGGGGAAGCACCTGGCTGTTGGGGCGCAGGTGACGAGCGCAGGGGGAGCCTGGGCGTTTCTGCAGGACACACGGCAGGGAGGCCAGGGTGGCTGGCGTAGGGTCGGCTACTGGACTCATTTCAGTGGCCTCTAAGCTATAGGGCTGGTCCCTGGTGGCCTGGCACCCGGCCTGGGGACGGCCGAGCCTGGGGACTGGTTCCTCTGGGGTGTGCGGGCCAGACAGGAGGCCTGCGTTTCACGGGTGCACCTCCTCGGGGCCGTTGCTACCTCTGAGAAATGGCTGCGCACTGTCCCCAGCCAGAGGTTTTCAAGCTGTCGAGACGCTAACAACGTCGGGAACAGAAGAGAGTAAACCAACGGCGCAGGCTCCCCTGCCTCCGATTCGCTGTCCGCAGGTTTTGGATTCTTCTGCGTGGTGCGCCGACTCCGTTTTCGTTTTGAACAAATCAATTGAAACCCTTGACTGGTCCGCCCAGGCCACTTGAACACTGCCATAATTCCTATCGATTTTGTGCAGCGTCCACATGCCCGAGACACCCTATTGATCTATCCGCATCAGCCTGTGAGTTTTTGGAATAAATGCAGGAGCAGTGGCCCCTGGATGCTTCAGTGCTGACAGGGTGGCAGGCTGAGCTGCCCAAGGAGCCCGAGACGAACTCTGTCTGTAGAACAATTGTGCACGTGGAAGACAAAACAAGCCCTCTCATTGGGTGGAACGTCACAGATTTACTCTAGTGCACTCAGATTGTAAACTCTTTCACCTGTAAGGTAAAAAACATAGCGTCAACGCTGGGCTGGGCGTGGGCCCGGAGCTCCTTGACTGGCGCTGGCTCTGCCCCACTGTCTCCCCGTGGTGTTGCCGGGCACGCTGTTCCCATTGCATCCTGCGGGTAGCGCTCACACCTGTGCAGCTTGCATTTCTCCATGTCTCAGCTGCAAACCTGAACGTTTAAAATACTTGCTGTGCCCTGCCTGGCGTAGCTCAGTGGATTGAGCGCGGGCTGGGAATCAAAGCATCGCAGGTTCAATTCCCAGTCAGGGCACATGTTTGGGTTGCAGGCCATGACCCCCAGCAACCGCACATTGATGTTTCTCTTTCTCCCTCCCTCCCCTCCCTCCCCTCCCTCCCCTCTCTAAAAGTAAGTAAATAAAATCTTTAAAAAAATTTAAAATACGTGCTGCCTTTGGTTTCCAAAGCCGGCACACCCACCAGACTCAGCAGCCCTGTCGTCGAGGCCAGGGCGCATTGGCGGTGGGGCAGTGACTGCCGGCGGTGGTCCACAGCGCACCCTTCCGGACCACCGGTGGTGCACCGGGCCGTGCTGGGACCCCCGGACAGGAGAACAGTCAGGGAGGAGAGTTGGGCAGGCCCCCTGAAAAACAACCCCTGCATCACCGCCCCCCCCCAAAAAAAACCCCCTAACTCCTCTGGAATCTGAATTTGCTCATCCTAGCAGGAGGGTGGCCCTAGGCGGCTGTCCGGGACAGCTGTCACTCACCTGTCACTCACACGTCTGCAGACATACGGACTGTTCTGTCTCCAGACCAGGAGGGCCATGGGGGAGCAGTTCTGCCCTAAATGAAGAGAAAGTGGGTAAAGTGCCGCAGGGTCCCCTTCCTGCGCCTTCCCCTCCGGCTCACAGGTGGCAAACACAAGGCCCACGGGCCGCATCGGGCCCTCCACCCTGTTTTATCCGGCCTGGCACCTTGTTTCTACCGAGCTCCTTGCCCCTGGTTGAGGAGTAGTTACATGCATGCAGCCCTACAATTACATCCGGCCCTTTGCAGGCAAGCATGAGGCTCATGTGGCCCCCCGGGGGAAATGGGTTTGACAGCCCGGGTCTAGGTCCTGCTGCGATGGAAGGGGCCGAAGTGCCCGTGCCACTGCAAGGGGCTTGGTGTCTGAAGGAGCCAGAGTGCAACCAGACAGAAGTCGGCTCTGGAAGTCAGTGACCCCAAATGGCCACATGGGGGCGCGCTCCAGCTTGGTTTGGAGGCACAGCCTTTGAAAAAAGGAGTCCGGCTGGACTGGGGCCTCCCCTTCGAGCCCCTGCTTTGGAGACCAGCCAGGTGTGTTGTGAGCTCAGGGAGAGGGGGAGGAGGGACTCTCCAGGTATCAAAGGGCCTCCAGCTGGCACAGCTCAAGGTCAAACACCACGGAGGAGGGAGGGGTTTGCAGCTGTTTGTAGTTCAGGTCTAAGGACCCTTTGGCTCTCCAAGTGAAGTCTGGGGGCCCAGTGAAGTCTGAAGCTCCAGTATCTGGGGTTTGTTAGAGCTGCAAGCTCTTGGGCCCCACCCTTGGCTTTCTGAATGAAACCGCGTGGGGGGCCCACCTGAAGTCCCAGCAGATCCACCTGAGGCCTGCAGCCTGGTTCTGCGGGGCTGCCACAGGACATCCAACTTGAATCTGGCCTGGCCAGGGTGACGGAAGGGATCTGCTGAAGGGGGGAGGCCCCTGGAAACCCAACCCAGGGCGTCCTGGGCCTGGGACACATGGCTGCTGCTGGAGCCACCTTCCTGGGCATCTCAGCGCGAGCCGGTCCGGGCTGGGAGGGGATTCTGCCTGCCCAGAGGTGGGGGGCACTTATGAACCGACAGACCGGGGCTTCGCCCAGATTTCTGATGGCTTCCTGCCTCCCCCAAATTGTCGGGGCCTGGAGGAAGTGTCCTGATGCCAGAGATCTTTTCGCTGGTGCAGGAAGTCCATTCAGCCCGCATTGCTTTTAATGAGTTTTGCAAGCAAGTGGCCTCTTCCGGTGACTCATTCCGCCTTTTGTGCACCGGAGATTGTGGTTTTAAGTTTCACTTTGGAAAGTAACCACTACTTTTGCTCCTTTCTCCGCGGCTGGAAGCCGAACAAGTTACATTCATTGTGCAACAAAGAAATGTAAACGCAGGCGGCCAGTCGTGTTTCTGCCCTGATTGCAAAAACATCCTTTTCCGAGAGGGTCACGGAGCCCAGCGACGAAGAAGGGCTTTGTATTTTCAAGGAACCCGGCCGTTCGGGAACTTAGGGCTTTTCTTCGAAGAGCGGCCGCACAGTTTCGCTTTTGTGCGTTGTCTGCTTGATTCATAGTTCAGAAGCGTCTTGAAAATAAATAGCACGGATTGGTGGGGTGAGGCAGTCCACCGCTGATTTATTGAGAGACTTGGTTCTGGACAAAAGCGTGTGCCCTCGCTTTCCGGCGGCACAGCCAAGGAGACACGTGGTGTCACACAGGGAAATAGCCGTCATCCGGGCTCTCCGCAGAACTCCGTGCGCGCTGCCCGAGCAGGTGACCATCGGGACTCGACACGCGGTGTGTGAAGTGCACAAACTGAGGTGTTTTTCTCCAGCCCCCACGAGAGAGTCGCCTTCAAAATATTAGCGTGGAACTAAGTTCTTCTTACACAGCTTTACTTCAATACGTGCAAACATAAAACAGTGGCCCTTTGACAACGGGCAAACCGAAATGTGTTTAAAATTCAGTGCAGACAGAAGGACAGCACCGATAAAGTGCCATGTCACGTGGGGGCCCTGGGTTGGAAAACGCCCGTGGGTGGGCGCCCGTGAGATGACGTGGGCTTTGGGTGGATAATAGAGATATTCGTGTTTTACATTTCACGTGTCAGCTTGGTTCTTTTAGTCTCTGAGTGTGAGGGGCCGCCTTCCGGGTCCCTGACCCCCCTGCCCGCGCCCCCCCCCCCCCACACTGCTCTGCAGACTCTGACGACAGGGTGGGGCCCCTGAGTGAGTCCTCCGCTGGTTCCACCTGGTTCTCCCAGAGCAAAGAGCGGCCTGGACCCCGGGGCGTGTCTGTGCTTTGCAAACGGTAAGATCAGGCCCAGCCCGGAGTGTTATTATCACCGCTGTCGCAGATCACGTTTTACGGCCGTTCACGCCCTTGGGACGAGAAAAAGGGAAGCCGAGAGAGACCGCGACTTGGCGAGGGCCGTCTGACTAGGCAGAGGCCGAGCTGGAGCTCGGGTCCCCAAACCCAGCGCGTTTTCAGGTGTCCTCAAGCTCCGCCCCGTCACAGGAGTGGCAGTTGCGCGGGCGGTGGGGACGAAGGAGGAGAAGTGGGCGAGGGCCGGAGCAAGGGCCGCACCGTGGGCCCCTGGCACGAGCACCCCCCCGTGGAGCCCTGTAGCTGAGACGGTTGGTGGCGATCGGAGGACAGGGCAGGGACCAGCCCGCAGGACGGACTCGGGGCAGCGCCCGCATCTTCCCCGGGACCGAACCCTGGCGTGGTCCACAGTGCCTTCGCTGTTTTAAAACGCTAACACGCTTCAAGCGATGGGGTCCGCACCTCCTGTTTTTCGCAGGAACAAACGCAAGAGAGACCTGGTCGTGTCTCCCCAGGCAGAGCGTCACCTTTCGGCTCAGAGGTGTCCGCATGGACCAGGCGTGCTGGGTGGGGGAACGGAGCCCGCGTGGAGTGGGGCGTGAGCTGGACCGTCTGCCGGCGGCCTGGGGCCCAGGGAACGCGCCGATGTAGCAGCAGCAGCAGCAGCGGGCAGGGCAGGAGGACCGGGTAAAGGGGTTCCTCTCC